GTAGTAGAAGTAGTGGTAGTAGTAGTAGAAGTAGTGATAGTGGTAGTGGTAGTAGTGAATGGTAGTGGTAGTGGTAGTGGTAGTAGTGAATGGTAGTGGTAGTGGTAGTAGTAGTAGTAGTAGTAGAAGTAGTAGTAGTAGTAGAAGTAGTAGTAGTAGTAGTAGAAGCAGTAGTAGTAGTAGAAGTAGTAGTAGAAGTAGTAGTAGTAGTAGAAGTAGTCGTAGTCGTAGTCGTAGTAGCAGTAGTAGTAGTAGTAGTCGTAGTAGTAGTAGTAGAAGTAGTTGTAGTAGAAGTAGTAGTAGAAGTAGTAGTAGTAGAAGTAGTCGTAGTCGTAGCAGTAGTAGTAGTAGTCGTCGTAGTAGTAGTCGCAGTAGTAGTAGTAGTAGTAGTAGTAGTAGTAGTCGTAGTAGTAGTAGTGAATGGTAGTCAGTGGGTGATCCCTAAAGGTCCCACGTCTTTTTGTGTCTCGGCCAGGCCCCCTCGGAACGGAGGTCCGGCCGCAAGACCATGGTCGCCACATCGGTGGCCTGGCGACGTCTTCAGACGGGTCGCCTGTTGGAGTTGCTGTTGGATCTTCAAGAGCACGTTGCTGTTGGAGTTCTTTTTTTTGGAGGGTGTTGGAGGTCTTGAGGTTTATAGCTACCTTCACTGAAGAGCATAACTAGGAGGCAGGAGGTATTTCTTGTACACCACCTGCCGTTTGTTTCTTTCTCTTTTTCTCCTTGCGCATTATAAACAACAGGCAACTGCAAGCCATCAAACTGCAGAGATGCAAAGATCTCGGTCACCCCTACACCCCGTCTCCGTCCTTCTTTCGGTCTGGAGCTGACACAATAGGTCCTGCTCTGGACATTCAGCATTTGCTCAATTCGAAGGTTGACAAGGGTAGGTTGAAAGCAATTGCCAAGAGTTCGACATCTTAGGCAAGGTCAATACGACCTACTGTATGTGATGCTGGATAGGAGATTCACAAGCCAGGCCAAATTCTACCAACTCTGCTGTGCCCAAGCTTTGACCTTCGAGTTTGATCATATAGTTAATCTTGATTATAATTCAGTCACTGAACCTGATGGGAGCCTCACTCTAAAGAGCCTTATGCTTCAGGGAAATCCAATACGAGGGATTGTCAGGCTCATGTGTAGGCGTCCGGTCGGGGATGAAGATGGGGACCGCACCTCAAAGCTTGACCATCCACCGGAAGCGGCCATCGAAGAATACTTTAAGAAGCCATGTTGCTTTTCGCACTGGTCAGACTCACATGGAATATGGACCTTCGATGTAGACCACGCTCCTTTAGAAAGGAACTGAAGGGACCATGGAATTCATTTTTGTTGCCACTTGTGTAACGTTTCTATGCACGAATAATCGGCTGTGAAGCTGAGGTGAAGAGCCGCGGAAGGCGCCGAGCGTTTCCGGCAGAGTTGGACGGGCGGAGATGAAGATGAAGAACATGCAAACATCGAACGCTACAAACGGGGCGACCCTGGCATCGCTACGACCCGTTCGCGTCCGGACGCGAAACGAAAACCGGGGCGACCCTGGCCGTAGGAACGGAGCTGGAGTGATTGTGGCAATGGACAGGGAGTCATGATCGAGCTTTTCCTATCGGAAAGCATGATGGAGCCAAGTAAGCGTGTAACTAGTAACTAGCGGTGACCGTGATCAAATAGGAGTGTGGCTGCCTAGGCCTGTAAGTGTCCATGTCAAACAAAAAGTACTCCTTCCATTTAGATGTAATATAACGCTTTTAATCTGTAAAGCCCCTTTCTGTTGAAGAGAATCGGCAATAAATCAACCTCTCATTAACATACTGCCCCTGCCCGAGCACTTGTTTGGTAGCCGGTACACGGCCGAAAAGCCTACCTTGGCTTTGCCCCTGCGGGATGCCCCATCCAAGATTGTTATGGATCTGGCTAGAGTTCTGCAACATTGAGAGCTAGCGAGTCATTGGAATGATAGACAATATAGTTGTGACTATACAATGGGCCGCGACTTAATGTTGGATCTTTTTTTGTTTATTTTTTTTTTCGTGTTTCGTGGCAGGTGCAGTACTTTGTGGACCTTGCAAAGCACATTTCGTGGCAGGCGCAGGGCTTTGTGGATGTGGAAGTGCAGAGTTGGTGGCAGGTGCAGGACTTTGTGGGCCTTGGAGTGCAGATTTTGTGGCAGGCGCAGGACTTTTTGTGGGCCTTGAAGTGCAGATTTCGTGGCAGGTGTAGTACTTTGTGGCCCTTGGAGTGCAGATTTCGCGGCGGGCGCAGGACTTTGTGGACCTTGAAGTGGATGTGGAAGTGTAGAGTTGGTGGCAGGTGCAGGACTTTGTGGGCCTTGGAGTGCAGATTTCGTGGCAGGCGCAAGACTTTGTGGACCTTGAAGTGCAGATTTCGTGGCAGGTGCAGTACTTTGTGGATGTTGAACTGCAGATAGATAGATAGATAGATAGAGGATGCATATTTGCTTGGTTAGAAAGTTTTGCACCGGGGAGTTCACCTTAAAATATTGATTTCATGGCAGGCGCGGGTGTCGGGGATGAAGTGCAGATTTCGTGGCGCGGGGGGGGTTGGGGGGTGGCGCAGCGCCCCCCCCAGCAGCACACCAGATCCAAAGGTGAGCAGCTCGTGCTTGCTTGCTTGCTTGCTTGCTTCCTTGCTTGCTTCCTTGTTTGGTTTCGTCTCTGCAACGAAAACAACAGGAAAAGCAAATGCAAAAAGAGAAAGGAAAACAGCTGCCAAAAAGAAAGAAAGAAAGAAAACTAGATAGATATAGACAGATAGATGGATAGGCCAAAAAACCAAAAGCCACAAAAGCCAAAAACCACAGAAACCACGAAAGCCACGAAAGCCAAAAGCCACAAAAGCCAGAAGCCACAGGTAAATTGATCGAGCTCAGAAAAGGGGCATGGATTTCACTCGCTTGCGTTAGTTCTATGTCAGCAAGTTCAAGAACAAAACTGGTGTTTGTTTAATTAGATATCTCAACCAATTTCAACCTGTTTATTGGTTTTGATTTTCTCTATAGTGGCCCTTGAACCCACACGTGTCTTGAGACAGATGTCTTTACTCTATTTCGACGGAATCACTCAGACTGCTCGGCTACCGAGGCGCTCCTCCGTGCGGGGCAGTAGCGTCTTCGACTTAAGGCGAGCGAAACGCGTGGGGGTGCGGCGGGCGACCCGAAAACAGACGGAGGAGACCGGAGCTAGGTACCAGGCTGATGGATGGAGCGTGGGAACCTGCGGGGGGAACCGGGTCGCGGGGCGGTCGGTTCACCCGGTTCACCCGTTTCGGAACCCATCAGAGCCGGGGCGCAGCCTGCCACAGCATCGGCAGAGAACGGTATTTGATTTTTTGCTGAGCCTAGCGGCCTAGCGGTTAGAGAACGGGTCGTTTCGTGTTGCGACGTTTGGTGCAGGTCTTGTACTGGAATGGCTGACTAACTTGAGCAGAACTAACTGACTAACTGATACGTGGTTGCAGCCATAGGACCGGACTTAAATAACACAACTGGTGCCAAATACGACTGGCTCAGGAACTTCTTTTTAGCCAGGGTGACTTGCATATATATTTACTTCAGAGGGTTCAGGGAAGACATCAACTCCCTTTCGTAGGAAGGAGTGGAGAGGCATGTCCCTGTGGTCTTCGATTTTGTGTCCTGTTTGTTCTCAGATGCGTTTGCGTCCTTGAAATGTTGTTTTTGAGACTATACACTCAATGAACGTCGGCTGAGTTGAGTGGTGTTCGAAAAGCATCACCATTGAACAAATCGGTCTGAATTTGTGACCTCATAAGTGCGCAAGTTCCTTCTGATCCAGCATGTAATCAGGTTCAAAAATCACCCACTGAACCCCCTGACGGACAGAGCCACAGCCGCGCAATCATGTGTAAGGCCATTGCGGCCATTTCCTGAAGATGAGCCAGAGAAGAAGGTGGCCGACAAAGTTGGTTGTGCTGTTATGAGGTCGAGCTGGTGGTGCAAGGTACTTCTACTCCACTCCACACCTGGCTCCTTTTGCTTCAACACGGCCAGTGACCTTATGCACGGTTATAAGGTTTTGCCAATCAGGATGATGCAAATGCTTTGAACCCAACAATCCTTGCCATTTGATCGGGTTATTTTGATTCACAAAGACGGTGGGCCCATGGTCAGGCAATCATCACCTCGTTGAAATAGAAAGGCCAACACTCTTGCCCTTCTGGAAGATGGCGATTTCAAGCCGATCTAGGTTCCTAGTTGCGGGATGTGGAGGGGCAAAATCCGACAGCGACCATTGCCAGAATTTCTGAGGTCAGTGAAAGCTCGAACCATCAGAATCAGGACTCATGGCCAGTGTACAGCGTTTCTGCCACTGAGATGCATGATTCCTCAGGGTAGGATCAGCTCTCAGCTCTGACTACCTCAGAACATTTCAGCTACAAGCAGACAGACTTGCAGCTTACATGCAGTCAAACATCACTCGTTCAAGTCTAGGCAACGTTCAGGTATGTTCAGGTCCATACAGTGCCTGTTGATGCACTACTCGTTGTAGTGCACTACTCGTCTTCGTCGCAGGATCTGGTGCGGGCTGCGTTGGCTGCCTGGAAAGAGCTTCCTGGCACGGTTGGAGGGGGCACCCGCAGAGCTTTGGGCGCCCACGCTGGGCGGCCTTCGGGGGCCGTTGATCCCCCAGCAGGCTCGACGCTGGCGCGTCGCAACAGGCGGGCCGTATCAAAGTGTATCGTACCATATCGAACCGGTATGTTGTCCATCGTTTTCCCTTGGGTGGCGAATCATGAGAAGACCTGTGGTTGATTTGTTCTGGATCTGGTCGGGTGGTTCGTGTGTCTCGCCAGACGTGCCTCGCGCTTCACTGCACCGAACGCTCTGGACGCAGTGGTTTGGCGGGTCGGTATGATCGATCTGCTTCCTTTTTGGATCGCGCAAGCCTGTTGATTCGAGAGCAAGACCTGAATGAGTCCAGAAAACACCTGAATGAATTGTTGAAGTTGGAAGGAGTTCTTTGGATCCACCACATGAAATACATAAATAAAGCAGGGTGACGTCCAAAACAGGGGGCGAGCAAAAGCCTAGAATCTCATATGAAACATACTTGGATGAAGCTAAGGTAGTGATTTTTCGGGACGAATTGAGGGATTGACTTCCAACTAGTGTCACCTTCCGATTCCGAACTGGTCCCCAGACAGTGGATACAGGGATTCTTACTTCTTTGAGGCTGTCCCCCGCTTTGCCTCCCAAACTGCCAACAATCAATGAACGCGACGTGATGGGCATAGCCTCGGCTGCCGGCGTAACGCCCTGCTACAGTGCTTTGATCACTGTGCCATAGTATAGGAAATAGGACTCTCTCTCTCTCTATATAGTTAAACAATTAATAACAATTATATATATATGTACAAGTTTCCCCTGCCATCCTGTCTCCCAAGCTTGTCTCCCTAGTTGTTTCTTGCTTGTGTGAGCTACATTCTGCTGGGGGTGTATATACAAGCGTAATTGAAGTCTGTCCAGTATTTCTTTATTAAATTGTTTTTTTGTTCCATGTCACTGTCACTTCTTTCAAGGTCTTTGGCTCTTACGATGGAAACTTGTACTTGTTTAGATAGAGAGTCTGAGAACCTTTTGAGCGCCGGCAGTCTGCCGGTCCTTTGTCTCAAAAGACCAAGCCCATTCTCCGTTCGTCGTTTGGAACGTAGCACTCAGAATTACAATTTTTTGAGGTACAAAGTCCTAGTACTGTCTTTGGCGAAGAGTGGGATATAGTGGGACGTGTACCTTAGATTATTTTCACTCTTCCTTCAATCGTGTGTATCGTGTGTGTGTGTGTGTGTTAGTTTCCACGTTAGACTCCTTTTGGTATACTTCCAGTTGAACGAACAGGGAAACAGTTTCCTTTGCCAATGAGGCTTCTTGGTGCGGCAAAGAAAGAAGATCATTCTTGCTTAAACATTGACAAGCCAACTCAATGACATTTTCCCAGAAAACTTTGTTCTGACTTTCATTCAGGAACTGCAGCTTGTTTTTATTGTTTGCTAGATTGCAATATGCTGACCACTAGCAGAAGGATAGACGACAAATAGACTAACACTATGTTTTGCAAGCTTGTTGAAATACATCCTATATACTGCATATATATATATATATACACGCAATATTTTCGACCTTCCAGTCCCCTGACGAACATGTACTGCAATAACAACCTTTGTATCCTGCATTGGTTTGTGTGAATCGTTGCCAGCTGCACAAGGGATTCTTTCGCAGTTTTTTCGCAAGTGCTTCTTGGCCAGACTGTACGACCCCACCGAGGTTCACCTTCAACTACGTCCAAGATGAGGACGATGAGTCGGAACAAGAGATTGAGGTGAGAACCTTAAGAGAGCTCTGAGGAAGAAGGGACTTGTCAAGTCAGAGGTGGACTGATTTGGAACCTTTGTTTATAGGTGTTCTAGGCAATGCTGGTCAAACCAATATGGATACCAGACCATGATAGACATATTGGATTTCGTTGCCAAAACTTAGGAGTGGCCAAAATGGCAGCCCCAAACTGAAGCTTTCAAGAGCTGAGGCTTTCCACACAAACTTGACCACAAATGCTGGTGGAGACCAGCCTTGTTCCGCTCATCGCACGCATTCTGTGTGTCATTTTCGCCCAGCCTCAGGCTCTACGGCAGGCGGCCTATAAGGAGTGGCCGGAAGACCTGAACGGGAGCGAGTTCTGGCAGGTGCGACAAGGGCGGATGTGTAGCCGGAGGGAGAGAAAGGGAGAGAAAGGGAACTAGAAGCTACTACTAACAAGGGCATTGCGGCATCGAGACGAAGGCACCTTAGCTACTAGAAGCTACTAGCAGCTCCTGGCATTACTAGTAGCAAGAAGCTACTAGGTGTCTAGTAACATGTCGCCGTGACTTGGGTGTGTTCACTTGTGTTCGCGGTCAAGAAAGGTGAGAACGGATGCATTGGACCAGTCTTTCAGTCGACCAGGTGACCAGTCGACCACAGAGGGTTGGTGGAGTTGGTAGGTGGAGTTGGGGTTGGTGGAGTTGGTAGGTGGTGGAGTGGCGAATTTCACTGAGATTGCTGGAGTTGGGGAATTCCTTCAACGTGACGTCAACAGTGTTTCAAGAATGCTTCCGAGGCACACAGAAAGTCACACGCACACACACACCAACACATTTCAACACATGCGGTCTGTTTCCATGGTGTATATAATATATATATATATAATCATATTATGCGTGGTTTTTGGAGCGTCCGCTCACCTTGAGTAATCCCAACCTGCCATTGATCCGTCCGAGACCTTCCTTTCGTCGCGTTCAAACAAAACCGCTCTTCAGGCCCAGCTGTTCCGGAATGAGCTGGGTCGTACCATGTCGAGCGATCTCAGTGCCAGCAAGGAGCAGTTTCCGGAGCAGTGCGGGACGGGGATTGGCGGCCAGCACGCATGGACTTGTTGAAGCCGGGGACGAAGAATGTTCCAGTGGTGGGTTGATTGGTTCGTGGTGTGGTGGGGGGAGAACTATCCGCTACTTAAGAGTCTTTGCACGAACGCATGCAGAGGTCGAGATGGACTAGGCTTGGATTATGGATTAACCAAAACAAGTGAGCAGCACTCGACCTAGGAGCATTGAATGGGGCTTCCTGTGTCCGATGCTTATTCTGTTGAGTCAACACCTTAAAGTTAAGGCAAACCCGTGAAGCTTTCAAAGGGGGTGACATCAGCGCCTTGGTGTTCCCCCAGTGATGTTGGTGGTTACCATAAGCAACTTCGCCCAATCCTGGGACCTGACCACGAAAGCGAGATGATCGCTCCGGATCCTGAGGATCCGGTGTCTTCGCTTCATGGGCCCCGAGTCATCCTTTTGAGTCATCCGTCACAGTGACGCGCCCGGGGTATTGAAACGTCAGTCCAGTCCTTCCCTTTGAAGGGAAACGAAGGATCAAAGTGCGGGAGTCAGAAGAGATGGGGACGAGAAAAGAAACCATGTGGCGCTGGGTAGAAGGGAAGAGTAGATGAACAGATAGTGACACAGTGACGCAGTGGTTATTACTTCTTATAGTGCTCCCTTGAATTTGAGACACTTCCAAATCTCTTGCAACAGGGAAAATCCACATCACCAGTCGCAGGTTTTCATGGTGACACATGTTCCCCTTTAGGCCCTTATCAACAGATGAGACTTCTTACCACATGGGCTGGGGAAGGATACTGGATACACCCGGCTCTTCCGGTGTTCGAAACCGGTGTCGACGTCCTCGGTGTCCCGGAGAAGAGGAGGCCGTTTTGGGTTGAGGTTCCGAGGGACGAAGGATGAAAGGTATGAAATGCTGCAGTTCTGTGGCCGTAGATGGTTCGCTGGCAGAATGTTCTAGGTTGTTTGGCAGGGTTCCAACAAATAAAGCACATTTAGGATCATTTACAAGTATTCTCAACTATATACGTCCAACAAAACACCATCCCCACAGGGTTCTCGAGATCATCAAAGAGACACAACTTCGAGCACATTTCGAGCACCATTTCGGTGAACACAATCTGTTCAGGGTTTGTAGGGGGGAATCACCCCATGTTGCAATTGGCTTCCCGAACGAGACACAGGGACCTTATAATGCCAACCGGTCGTTCAAGAGGTTCGTCAACACCAGTCCTCGGGACTTGAGCCATAGGGACTTTTGTATACAGATCATTCACTGAACAAGATGACCCTTTTTCAACCCCACAGACATTGCTATAAGATCGTTTCACCTTTCTCTTTCTGTCTCAACCAGATCCCCCGGTGTTGGCTCCGTCTCCGGACCTCGCTTCGTTCACCCGGAGCCCGGACCGCCATCGTCTCCCTTTCGCCGGACCGGTCCGTCGGTCCGTGCGACCAGGAGAAGTTGACCGCATCGGCGCCCTGTCACCGTTTCTACAGGCGGATCGGGCGCATGCGAAGCGGTCGACCTCCGGACCGGTCGAAGCGTCGGTCGAAGCGCGTCCGGTTCCGCCGAAGGGGGCGAAGCGTTTCGTCACGTCGGAACTCAGGGCGAGTTTTGACTCGCCAGGTCCGTCACGCAGAGGTCGGTCGCGCAGAATCAGACGCATCGATTTTGTAAGCTGAAGGATCGCCGGAATAGCATCCCACGCTTGGTCAAAGCAACATCCAAAGACTGTCTGCGGGTGTCCGGTCTCCCGGTGGTTGCACGATGGTATGAAGTGCAGACATGATACACCGCGATGATCCACTACACCATGAGAACACCATAATTTTTGTGTGAATGGCAGAATTCCACTCATTGATGACCGGGAGCATGGACTCAAACCATCTCAAAACCATCCAAAAGCTGATGAAAGGTGAGCATGTCCTCCCTTTTTCCCCACACCGAATCCCGGCGACGATTCGGCGTAGATTCGAGGGATTCGGCGTTGAAACCCGGTCCTGGTTCTGGTCCGACGCTTCCGGACGGAGCAGTGCTGGAATCACTAACATGAACACTGAAAACCACTGGTTTGTAGAGGAAACCCGTCTTTCAGGGTCCCCTTCTCAGGGTCCATGTGAGTTTTCTGGAGCAGTACTGTAGTTACTGGGTTAGCACTTGTACTCCCAGTCCTGGTCCTGACACACGCAGGAAGCACTTGGTGACCTCACCCTCCTCACGACGGAGGATGCGCCTGAGCTGCCAGAGCTGGTCTTGCTGTGTGGATCCAATCCGGTGGACCCTGGTGGGCCACCGGGTCAAAATGAACCGATTCATTCGTTCTATGGAAGGTTGAGGGTGGAGTTGCGGGTACAGTACCGTGTGTTGTCCTGCCTGGTGTGATGTGTTGCCCTTCTGGAATTCTTTATCCTGGCCCATGACTGCTACAGCTGCGTATTTAATCTGTTTCTTTATCGTTTGAATAATACAGCCTACCTGGCTGTACGTGTTCCTTGTTCTTATCTTATAGTATTGTAGTGGTTGGCTTGTTAGACTGACACACACACACACACACACACTGTACAGTGACAGTATACTTTGCAGGTGATTTCTGATTCTGTTCAATGATGTTCCAAGCAAAGACTCTTCATCACTTTATGTCAATCCGTTGTGTTCCGGAATGCACACATTGTTCCTGTTGTGTGAATATGTGCTTCCTTCTTCCGAAAGTGTACGCACGGGTTGTATTCACCATACTGTATTCCCCAAGAAGAAAGGCGCTCCGGAAAGGAGATCGTGGCACCGTGGCACTGTGGCACTCAGGATTTGGGATCTCTGCGGCTTATGCCTGGTGATTTGGGCTCCTTGACTGAGGAAGGAGAAAAGAAGGAAAACGACCATGAAAAATACAATTCCCATCCATTCCCAGAATTGGTTTAAGGGAAGATCTACAGGAAAACATCTATAGTTTTGGGGTGAAAACTAAGGGCTTCCTGCAGATGTTCCCTTAAACCCATTCATTGAACAATGGAACACAATGGAACCCTGGTGATGCAGGACCCACCTGGGAAAAAATCCCCACCGTAGGAAGTCTCTCGTCATGTCATTTTGAGAGCGAAGGGTCAGGCAGCAAGCTAAACTGACAAAAGTGGCAAAAAGCATTCCTGAACAAGGAAAAAACAACTTTAGAACAGGTCGCTCAAGCCCAACGCAGCTTTTCTACGACTGCAGCAAGATGTTAAATGCCTACCTTTCGTCCCCCTTGGCACACTGCCGTAGCTGAAACCTGTTGTCAATCGTTTGATTTCACCTTTTGTCGCTGAAACAGGTTCTACTCTTGGTGATTCCGGATTCTGCAACACGTGGGGCCAAGCATTTGGTTGAACTGAGAGAACTGAATGCAGGTTTCAATACTGTGGTGATGTGTCAAAGCATCCTGATGACTTTTTGGCCTTCGGTGGGACATGAATATCACAAACCAATACAACCAATATATTTTGGTGCTCACTGTGTTCCAATCATATCTAGGCCACAGTACCCGTGATGAAAAACATGGTAAAATACGTGGAGTCAAAGCAATCTCACACAGTGAACAAGCTGGTGAATCGTTTTACCTTGCTTCATTTTGATTCTGCTCTTGTCGGCGTCGCTGAATATTTAATATCCACAATTGTCATTGTATATAATGACTGCCCATGACAACAACCCAACAACTTTCTGCAAGAATTTGATGGCGGCTGCACTGAGGACATTTTTGCAATTCCAATGAATGCATTTGAGTGGGACCCTCAGAGGGGCGGGCACTGATCAGAAAGCACCACCGAGCGCGCCGCGTCCTCGGAGACCGGAGCTGCTCGTTTTGGCTGGGGATTCTGAAAAACCATGTGACATCCCCAGCACCATGTGAGCAAACATACCCCATGGAGTGGAATCCCCAGTGATGTCCTTGGTCGATTCGGATTCATCCTTTGAAGGACATCCCCATGGGCCCATGTCTCTTGAAGCACCTCGGATGCCAAAAATCCCCTGCACCGGGGTTCGGACCTCGGAAGCCTTTGATGTGGGGCCGGGGTCATTGACCGAAACCAAATCCGCAAGTGATCCAGGAAATAGACACATGCTGCTGTATAGTATATTATTATATATTATACTGTACATACTGAAAATGGTTTCCCAGATATTCCCAGATGACCCGCGCAAGTCATCGTATACTGTATCTATTATATCTATATACATAAATATAGTGTAGCCTTGTTCCCTTGTCGATCACATCCACTTCTACCCTTGAAGCACTGTTCATCAACCAAGCTCGCACAAATTTTCTCTTCTTGTCACTGGAATTTTGGACTTCACCTTTTGTGACCATTTCCCTTGAGGTTTGAGGGCTGTGTTTACCATGCGTTTACTGCTTGACCGATCCTTGTTTTTGCATCGTCCAAGCAGAACTCCATCGTCCAACCCATCGCGTCTTGATTTTGTCCACCGAGACCGGTGCGAGGTTGACCGATATCGTGACGCCGTACATCATGAGCCGCCTGGAGATAGAGATAGGTGAAGGACCGCCGACGCCCCGCCTACGCAGACGCCACGCCGGCATCCGGACGAAGATCCGCAGACGTCTCCATTCCTTGAAAGTCCGGTTTTTTTCCCCGGTGCAGACGAAGTTGGAATTCCTTCCGAAAACTGCCACCAACCCCACAGTGGAAAAGGGTCCATTTTAGGCTTCATTGGAGTTTTTGGATCCTATCTCAGTAGAAATCACCACTTACGAAAGACCTCCATCCCTGGTGGCCTGAGGACATGAGCTTCCAGTTGAGGGAATGATATCTATACACAACTTTACAGTGTTTGTTCACCTACGCAAGTGACAAATCAAGTATTTATCCGCGAACCCATGCGCTTGCAGAATACTCATCAGTGACTAGCTGACAGAGGAAACAATCTGACTACAGTAAAAAAGACACTGAGAGCATCAATTTGTTCACCGATTTGTTGATGTACTGCAGAAAAGTATCACATGAGCCAACCAGCCATCAAACATCTCAACCGAAACCGGCCAACTGCCCGACTGCCCGACTGACCGACTGACCGACCAGATCGACTAACCTTGACAGAGGGACATGTAGACACCAGCCAGCAATGAAAGAAACCAACGACAGAGAAGCAACAAGTCATGTTATATGATGTTATATGTATATCTGCACAATATAATATAGGTATTCTAATATGGTACAAACAAATGGTAATAGTATAATAGTGGTCAAGTAGGTTAAGTCTAATTCACAAACCGATAAATCAACCAGCAAACCAACTGACTAAGGAAGCAACTAACCATGACGTATACCAGTTACTGTGTGACTGACACAACTACAGCAACTAGACGGCCGAAGACGGTCATCGACCTTCATGCGCATCGAATTTCATGCGCTCTGAGGCTGGGTTTCGACGGTCTTTTGGACCATCGACTTTCCAACCAATTTCTTCCTTGGCCTCGACCTCGGGCGACCTCGGGCGCTGTGCCAGAGCGCCAGCGCTCTGCGTCTGGTGTGCTCAGCACAGCAGCTGAGCGGATTTCTGGGAGGATGGTGTGTTTTTTCGAAGTAGAATTGGGTGGGCAGTCTGGTCAAAGGCGCGAGGGAACTGAAAGAACGTGTGATTCAGATGTGCAGCCGAAGCCACTTGGCTGAACCAGCTCTGGAAAGGAATTGGTACCAACCCGAAGTATGGAAGGTTCAGCACCAGCTGTAAGATTTGGCTCAAGTAGGATGTGCGCATCCCAGACGGATTTCTGGCGTAGCTGCTGCCTGCTGTACGCAGGCCAAACTCATCCATCTCAGAATCCCGTAAGCTAGGATAGTATCAGCACCTGTTGGCTTGAACATAGGCTGCGAGCTCCATTTGCCAAGATCCGTAGAGCCAACTCTGTGCCCACTCTGGTTTCTAGAGCAAACCTCGTCATGTCGTTGAGAGAAGAAACAGGAACTCCGTGGTTTTCAGGTCAATCCCTCTCGACATCCCGGAATTGGACCTCCAACGGCCATGTGACGCATAACACATACACATTCCAAGCATAACACATACACATCCTATGTTAGAATCAGGGTGGAGCCGACAACAAGGAGACTGCACATGCATCGTCAGGATGACGCAATCCCATCACTTTTGGATTGGACATGAATTGGTAGGTCATCCGCATGAACACGTGACATAACTGATAGTAATACGTCATGTCGAGTAGCATGTGGTTTCTGATGAATTCAGATGAAGGCATGATCAACATGTGTAAGGTGCTGCTACCTGCTGCTATCCTCAAATACCAAGCTGCTGCGAGATTAAACATGTTCAAATTGGGCCCCGCAGGCCCCGTAGGCCGCCGCAAAAACCGCCGACCGCCTACCGCTCACGAATGCCTCATGGCGACCGCGCAGCTCCGCCCCGCAGCTCCGCGCGCCACGCGCGCAGCTCCGCGCGGCTTATCAGTTCCCCAGCTGAAGGCCAGTGCGATGGAGACTGAAGACCTGACCCGGCCGGTGAAGACCTGAGACTGCTTTCAGATTTTGTCCGTTTTCTAGTCAAGTCAGTGAGCCAAGACCCAAAAAGCGGCACTGTCGCAGTGGAAGCTCTTCTTGGAGCGCCGCAGCTCTTCTTCTTCTTCTTCTTCTTCCTTTTCTTCTTCTTCTTCTTCGCTGGGCACCTGCAGACTCAGGTGAAGAGAAAGACCTCCTTTGCTCTCAAAAGCAGAGTTTTGGTATGTTGGTGGCTGGTAAAGTTCCACCGAAAGTTGGCTGAGCACAGTATCAGCTGGTCTCCTGAGAGGCAAATAAGATCTCCCACGTGTCACATGTGTGTTATGGGTGTTCACAGCCCGCCTCAGCCTCGGTCAGGTGTTGATGTGTTATCTCAACAAACACAACGTGGCAACAGACAATTAAGAAACACAATCTAGCATACGTGTGATTTATGCCCTCTGTCCGCAGGGGTGCGGAACGGGCAGGGAGGAGTCGAAGCCCGAGGCCAAATCCTGGGCAACACTTTTCCCGCAAAAAAATCTTAACGGTCCCACGACAAGATATTTTTTCAATTTTGTGGCACAGCGTGACATGGCCCACCGCTCACCGGAGTCCCTCAACAGGAACATGGGCCGCTCACGCGGCTCACGCGTATCCGTTCGTCGGCCGACGACCGGGCACTCGGCGGATTCACGGCTCCGGCACCGCTTCTGCAGGTGCGGACGAGTTCCTGTGTCTATGAGACGGCTGGGCAACTCACTGAGCACCTGAAGCGGGACCCCGAGGTACGACGTCTTTCGGTGCACGGCCGCTGGGACGTGAGCGGGGCGAACAGGACGGATAAAAGAAACAACCGGGGATCTGAGGCGCGAGGAGATGAGTGCAGTGGATGAGTGAGTGGATTGGAATGCCAATGCACCGTATGTTCAGCCCCACTTTATTAATAGACAGGACATGCACAGAAAGATTGCAAAAGGTGTACTTTCTTTTTGGACTGACTATGGCCCTGTGTTCCAAAGAAAACGAAGCCAACGCTCCAAATCTTACTTCATGCAGAGGTAGTGGTTCTTCCTTTTTAGCGCGGTGGCTTGCCCTCAGGGTAGTCCCAGACTAACATGGTGAAGGCGGTGAAGGCGTCCTCATGATCACCCCCCCTTGACTACAACAATTGTGAAATTGTTCCTTTTGGGGATCCCGTTGGGAGGTTAGTTTTGAGTGGAACCAATAAACAGGCGGATGGGTTGTTCCACAAACCCTTAGGAATCATTGATCCTTTTGTGATATTCAATTTGAATGAGTGGCTTCTTGTGAACATGTAATTGGGTGAGGAGGGAACCAAAGAGGTGCAGTAACGAGCAGAGATAATCCGGAAACAATAATTAATGATAATTAATGGAGATTCTGGGGAGTGGTTCGGAGCGCTTTTGCATGCTAATTCTTACGATTTCGCCACATTGTCTCATTCTCAAGCCTGAATTCACTATCACTCAGGCCTCATGTTGAGCATTCTACCCTTCCCACATTTGCCCAAATCTCCGCCCTCTCGCGAGTTGCGGCACAGGTGCAACTGGAAGCATCTGGTTTGAAAGTCGCGGAGAAGAGCCTCCGGATCTTGTCTCTCGCGGGTGCCCACCGGAGATCGTCTTGTGGAACCGGTTTGGTGATTGGTGTTGATTGAGCGGTGTTCGGTGGTTGAAGACTTCAACCATGTGAAGAACCTGAGGCCAACGCCTTCAGAGAGCCTGTTTTGGCCGCAAGTTGTTGGGCCTTCTTTTTTGACTGGGAGAGGGGGGTCTATTTAAGGCCTGTAGATAGGTGTCTTCGTGTTCGAAGTTGCTTCACTCGCTGTCCATCTGCCAGGTGCTGACCTACAAAAGTGCACTGGATACCTTCCAGGCATAGGGTTTTGTGGTGCGAAGGGTCCCTGAAAGAACCTGGAGGCGGCATGCATGTTCCTGTTTCATGCACTTATGTGATCTCATGTGGAGTTCTTTTCATGTTCTGAAAACGACATCCCGCAATTCTGTGTTTCACGCTCAACTGATTGGGTGAAAACACCCATGTGTCCGACCAGCCTAAGAACCGCACATACCCTGCTGCCAGACTGCCAGGTGTGCGTTTTCACAAAAAAACGCCAGGGTCTAACCGACCGACACTGCTAGCTTTCGTTTCCTCGCAGGTTTTGGTGCGCTTGGCTTGCGCCTGGACCACTTCCGTGCCACGACACTGTCCACGCCCTGTGAGCTGCGCCGCTGGGTACGGCAGGTGGAGTCGGGTGAGAGAGCCCGGAGCACGGTCTGAACCACTGGCTGCTCCTTTTGGTCTCATCAAGGTCGAAAGGATGCGTTGTGGTTACTAACTAGGTGGCCTTGGGACAAGCAGCAATTTGCTTGTAGTCTGTTTTTTTTTGCACATTCACCCAGGTGATCTGACTGGAGTAAACAAGAGACACAAGAAAGCATGCTAAGAACACGTCCCCGTCCTTGCGTTCGTCACCCAGGCGCTCGGGTGGCGAGGCTTCTAGAACCACCTCTCGTCAGCGACAGTATTGTGCAAGTGGCCGCTTGAAATACAGGGGTGCAGACAGGGCGAAAGGATCATTATTTACTTATTGTTTCTACTAGCTTCTTGTTCCTAGTAGTAAGGCACTTGTTACTAGTAGCGATGCACTTGTTCCTAGTAGCTTATTGATTCTATTCTCAGAGGTGCAGACTCAGGTTGCGGTACTGGAGAAGCTCTCCACCCAATCTAATTGCTGGACGCATCCGTTTGTCCACATTGCTGGCGGCCACGACTGGGTCCATTTGGATGGTTCGGCTAGACGCGGCTGGGTCCGAGCCACCGGAGACATGCGGAAACTGAGACGACGGCCGGAACGAGTTCAGGGTGTTTAACGCCTCTCAACAGCGCTGTTACACGGAAGATCACCTTTCAACCAGTGACCAGGCGTCAACCATCAATCCAAGCTTGGAGGTGTTTTGAGGGACTCCACCTCAGAATGGGGGTTGATCGGTACACCTCAGAGGATTAACCAGAGGCCTCATACACCTCTTAAACCTTCATCCAGGCTCAGCAAGATTGGTAGGACAATCGCGAGGTTTGAAGGTGAAGGTAGATGACCCAAGGCCATTTGCTTGTGTTCAATTTGTCATGTCTTGGATGAAGCAAGTCGCAAGTCTCAGTCACCAGACATGTTTGCGTGTTTTTGTCTCATGCAGAGGGTTCGCTTCGCTTTTTTGCTGCGGAGCCGGTGGGTGGAAGTTTCAACATATCGATATCGGACATGTGTGTTGGTTGTGAAGATGTAAGTGATGAATGGTGCGTGGCCATGTAAGTTTGAGGCTGAGGTGGCCAACAGGCTGAGGTGGTGAGGAACCGCATGTGTTGTGTTGATGTGAAGCGAGAAGGGCAGTTGTTTGACTTGTTTTTTTTTGTTCTCATCTAGTATTCTCCAGTTCCAGCATGTCAACATGTCAAATACCAAGGACAAGCGGTTGCTCTGCTTCAGTCAATGTGGGTTGAATCCTCCCATTTCAATACCCCATAGAATGGGGATGCCAAGCACCTCCCGAACACCAACCCTACCCTCCTCTGACTCTAGCAATGGCTTGACATGGACTGGATTGACCAAACTGCCGCTTTGCGCTTTTGCTCCCCTGGGCCCACGATCACGCACACATAAGTCGGGGAATTCTATGGAATTCTGTTTGAGTCCTTTGCCAATTATGGGCTGCCACGTGGTCCCTCGTTCTGGACATTTCCCGGATGCGTTCGACCATGTGGGCCACTGCCTTCCATCTTGGCCAGCCCCCTAATGGTCAATTCAGAGAAGTCAATGGACCGCGGACGTCCGCACGACTCGTCCATGCCGGGCACCGCCACCGGCGGCGCGGGCGGGGCGGGTCGCTCGCTCCAGGTCACGAAGAAGTCCTCGTGGCCTGGCCTGGCCGAAGGCATCCTCCACCAGCTGGACGGAGGCGAAGCCGCCCTCGAGCACTTTGCAGAGCACCTGGGGCTGAGCGTGGTCGTTTCCTGCGGCGGCAACGGGGTGTGAGCGAACGAAGCGGTCGTGAGGTTGCTGAGGCTGAGGAAGGCAGGATTGTTGTTTTTGTTTTTGTGTGTGTTAAGCAAAAAACATATAATATATACACACAATTTTAGACATTGCAGTGTGCAGAGCTTTGATACAGGCATGGGAAGGACCAGGGGACTAGGGGCTTCGAGCTACCTCAATGTAGAAATGACAAGAGCTGCTGCAGGAAGGAGTCATTTGATATTGAATGGTCCTGTGAGTGGCTGGGTCAGTAAGTTTGTTTGATACCAGCTTTTTTGTGTGAGATTCAGAGAAGGAAGAGTGGAAGGCCGCATGCTGAGTTTTTTGCAGCAGCACCTTAGAACATTTTAATGAACTTGAAATTCTTAATCTTCATAATCCCCATTAAGGTCGACCAAACTTTGGCCTCGGCTGCCTAGTCACTAGTCTCGGCGACATGAGGTGCTTCCGCTTCGTGGGCGCAGGACCGGCGGAGCTGGTGCTTTTAGCTGCACAACACGTGGAGAAGGAGAGGCAGAGCAGATCCTGCGCTGGGATATCCGTGCAGAGTACGGAAAACGGAGGTTTGTCACCATGTTGCTGACTTGGCCCACGTCAGTCAGCGTAGCTGCCTTACAGGGTGCAGCAGGGTTTTCGGGCAAAAACATGTAAATCTCATAGACCCTCTTTTGGTGGAAACCTACCCCATCTGCCTGTAGCATACCTTTTTCGGTGCAGGAGCGGCCTGGACTGCGCTTGGCACTGTGCCCCTCCTTGGGTGCCTCTTTGGACCACACCGGCGGCTTCCGCTATAACGAGGCGAGTTGTCGAGAGTTGGGTGGGATTCCCGGTGGGATTCAGAGACTCCCGGTTCGTGCATCTATGGTCTGTACAACAAAACCATTGTTCATTCTGAAGCAAAGCCATTTTTTACCTTTCCAGCGGGTGCAACCAGTGAAGGTGGGCTATCTTTGGGATCAGAAACCCTTGTTCCTTCCAACTCAGTCAACAGGCGCCAGTCAAGACCGTTCTAAGAAGCATAGAAAACTGGATTCTTGGTATGCAAATGCTTGGAATCTTGGCCTAAGGAGCTCCACGATCTTTCCAGGTGAAAGCAATACATGCTTTCGGATGGTGTGGTTTTGGAGGAGTAGAGCTAGATGGGGGCCCGGTAAGCTGGTTTTTTACAGCAAAAAAGTATGATGAGATGCCCAGAGACGTGTGCTAAGGTTTGGAACATGACCATCTCTACCGCTGGCTGTCTGAGCGTTTCTTCTTGATGAATCTCAATGCAGTGAGTGTTGGACTGGATGGGTGGCTACTGGTAGTGATTTCCTTTAGTCATGTCATGTTATGTCCATCTCTTATATTTTTTGATTTTTCTTGATGTCTATCACTTGGCAGCCGAAACCTACGGGCAGCCGAAACCGCTGCATTCCATCCGAAATCGGATTCCAACCCCCGATGGGGGGGGCCAAGTTCCGGCGGGCGGCACTTGCCTCGCCAAAACGCCCAAAGCCAGGTGCTGGTGCTTCTGTGTTCTTGGAGCAACGTCGCATCAGTCCCGTCCTGAGAGACCTACCGAAACACGACATGTCGGGTGTCGGGTCGTGTCGTGAGAGTGGCAGGGAAGGCGACCCACACGACTCTGGACCAAACGACCCACACGTCATATCCGCCGGGTGAATGCACGCGTTGCGTGCAATGAATGGACCAGTTCTGCAGCAACGATATCCCTTGGAAAGGGGAAACTCAACTCAAAATCTCTAGTTTCCAGCTCCCATACCCACATCTCATTCCTCTACAGGTCTCAGCGATCATCACTTCCTCTGACTGTATCTTCAGGATGAAAAATTCTGATCCGAGGTGATCCGCAGTGGTGATGTGGTGATCCGCTTTATTCCTGCCACCAACCAAGAGAGGTTGAACAGCCCTATAGCCCATCCCATATGTACCACTACAGGGTCCTATATGGTTTCTCAAGCTCTCTTGGAACATTTCTAGCTTCGGGTGGAATGATTGTTTGAGAATCTCTTTAAGGCTTGTGGGAGGCTCTTGGGATTCGAACACAGAGCAACACCCCGCCACCCTGCCGCAGGTCTGACATGGGGTTTCGTGTGGACGTGGGGCCCGAAAAATCGAGGTATTGCAGGAAGTACAGCTCCAAGTAATGACAGACACTCCGTGTTCCTTCACGTTTGGTGGTCTAAGCGCAGGTCTGTCGAGGAACGAAAAACTCAGAACTCCGAGCTGGGATCCTCTAACGATGTGGATCTTGGCTGGGGGTCAGAAGACGTACTTCTATACTTCCTGGAAGAAGAATGAAGCAGATGTATTTTAAACTCAATGGGTTTTAGACGGCCACAATTTTTCAGGATTTGCTTCACACTACTTGCATGCAGGAGGCACCTGGCCTGCCAGCGATCCGCCCACGGCACAGTGCCAAGTTCTTGGAGGCTCTAGAGGCGGAGTGAAAACAAGGCGGCCCCGGAGAAGTCGTCGTGCGAAGTTCTAATCTTAAGTTTCCCTAACAATCTAGTAGCTTATTGTTACTTGTAGCGAACCTTGTTACTACTAGTAAGGCACCTGTTACTACTAGCGATGCACTTGTTACTAGTAGCTTAAGTTTCCCCAAAAATCGAGAAACCACATCATTAGTGCGAGCGCTTCTTCAAGGAAGCTTCCCTCGCTGCCTCGCCTTTAGGGCGGCGGGGGAGGTTCCTTGAAGAAGCGTCTTCGCTATCCTGCGTCTTACCTAGGAGCGTCCTGTACCTACTAGCTACCTCTCCCTTACTTAAATAAGTAGGCGCCTACTTAATTGAGTAGGGAGGGGGGGAGCGGGCTCAAAGAAAATCGTCCAATTGCTCGAAGCGAGATGAACTTGCCTTGAAAGTGTCCCATGGATCCCGAAGTTGGGGAGGACAATGCCACATGCGGGAAGACCGATAGTTGCCCAAAAGACCATGGTTTTGCGGCCCAACCCAGGTGATCGATACGTAGATCGATCGGATGGACATGTCATGATGCCTGTCTAAGCCACCCCACTTCATCGCAGATGGCTTAAACACAGTTGGCTGCCAAGATTCTTTTTTACCAAGGTCTCAGTATGTCGCAACCAACCAGCTTTCATGCAGCTTCCGCTCTTGTAGGGTGGGGTGAACGTCAAATACACACATTATATATATATATATCTGATATAGCATATAAAAATGATTACACATGTATTATATATTACATTTTATTTTATGTTAGTATATTATACTATATATGATATATATATAACAAAACAAGTTCATATTAGTATATAAATATATGTTTATTTTGTATTACATCTGCTAGATATTCACATCCACAAGGAAAAACAATGGCCACGGCGCCAACCATTCCTTTCACACTCCATGCGAGCCCCTCGATGCTGCGCTCCACCTCTGCGCTCTAAGGCTTCTACCGTGCTGGGCACATCGTGATCGATCCGTGGAAAATTGCATGGCAGTACTTGAGGTGCCCAGACTGCATTCCTTGAGAAAGAGCAGAGCTTCCGACGACTGATGTATCTCTCAGTGGTTGGCTCCAAACATCATGACTGGTGTTGATGTCCAAAAGGAAGCACCTCTAAGAGAAGATGCCATGATATTTGACAAACAAAACACGGCGGGATCGGATCACACACCTCGGACCTTTTTTAGTCTTTTTTATGAAGATGCCATGATACCCCAGAAAGCCGGTTGCCCCCCCCAACCTCGGCGCCTTCTCGGATCGTCTCAAAACCTTCGGAAATCCCGACTTCGGTCCTGAAAAAAACGGGTCTTCCGAGCTGCTTCCGAGCGGGGTCACCTGGGACATCTCCACACTACTTTAAACAGGTCTCCAGACAGGGCACCCCGACAGGAAGCGCGAGGGGTGGAGCCATTTTGGGGAAGCGACGTCGCAGACGGCATGCATTCTTATGTGCAGATGATTGCATATCATTTGTCCTGGGCCTACGGGTGCACCTGGATCAACCATCAGCGGCTCCCCTCAACCTCCTGAGAGCCATCAGCCTCCTCCCACAAACACCAGCATCTTCACCTGCACTCATGTGGAGCCATGCTTCCTCACCACTCCGGAAAGCTCACCAAAACTCGGTGTGCTCTCAAAGCAGCGCTCGTCTTCGCAGCGCGGGCCTGTCGAGGACCTGGTTCGCCGTGGATGTGGGTGTTCGGGAGCTTGGTCGTCAGGTCTTGCAGCGAACGAAGCAATGGTCCACCCGGTACGTCGACAGCTCGATCTGTGGATCTGTGGACATCTTTGGACGGTATGTCTGACTTTTCAGCTTTCTAGTAGCAAGAAGCTATTAGGGTGGAGGGAGGCCATCGCTACTAGTAACAATAATACATTTCTATAGTAAAAGGGTGTCCTTTTGAAGTCACACCGATGTGAGACCCCTGGGCCCAGCCTCACGTGGGCTTGTTGGTCCGTCTAATTAAGCATAAAGGAGCTGAAACCTCACTTGCGATTGCGCAGAACCTCGCGCTGCAACACCCAGAGCTGTGGTTATGCAAGAAAATGTACAAAGTTAATGGGATAGAGTATAGGATAACGAATATATAGATCCCCTTAATAGATAGAAAAGTAGATCTTCACAAATGTATTGGAAACCGTGCCACTATCTATTTGGGGATCGCTATCGAGGTCGGGACATGAGAGTGGCATGTGGCATGGACTTGAATCGGCTCATTTGACTCATTTGACCGGAAGAAGCCAAGGAACTCCCATCAGCCAGGGTGTCATTTCAACTGTGACTGAAGTTTTACTTCCACGATATGATACAGTATCAACAACTAGAACTAGAAGAAGAAGAGGAGGAAGAAGAGGAAGAAGAGGAACAAGAAGAAGAGGAGGAAGAAGTAAGGAGAAAAAGAAGACGACGAAGACAAACAAGAACAAGAAACAGTGGCAGTGACACCAGCAGGACGACCAATACCAGCAGAGCAGGAACATGCACAGCAACAACGAAGAAGAGTCATCGGCCCATCAAGGGTAACATTAGACGACCGTCCATTTTACATAAGAACAAAGCTCCGTATGGGTCCACATTGACGGGACGCCGTGTGTTCTTAGAACCGCATCCAAACGAGAAACTGCAGAAGTTTGAGTCCTCGAAGGACAAGGAGCCATCGAAGACTCCAATGTTTCTTCGAGACTGAGTGCAGATTGTTTTTCTTCCTACGCTTTGCCAACCGTCTCTGTAAAGAACAGCTGCAGCTTGCGTGTCTCAGTGTATTTCCTAGGGCCCAAGATTGTACTGTTGAGCATTATCACCGATCACCTCACCATACCTGAACTATCCTGAACTGACTAGTCATGCGTAAGTTGACCTATGGAAGGTGCTGTAGGTCGTTGTAGACCATGACCAGTGAACTCATCTGCTCAAACCTTTGCAGCTGTGTTGCATTGTGTTCTCCTATCCTGAACATTTGCTCGTCCAACTCCCGACTACGTCACACTGCCGATTGCTGGCCGTCATTCAAGGTCCTGGCTTTGGACTGGTTCTTCATCTTCTTAGATATCACCATGGCTGACATTGAGGAAGACACGGATGCGGCGCGGATTGGGCCAAGACAGACGGACAGTGAGGGTGACAGACAGCGGGAGATCGGGGTTTGGGTCAGCGCTGGGCTTTGTATACATACAGTGGATTCAGAGGTGAGAAATGGCGATGGCACTGGCACCCCAAGAGCACTTGGACAGATGGGGTCCATATAAACCACATTAAACCACCGACCTTGGGGTAACTTGCGCCATCTACTCTGAATCCACGTCGATGTTCCAGCAGAGCCTTGGGGGTGAACCGGATCACCGGAAGAGAAGGAGGTCCTCAAAACAAGAAAATGAACACCGAAGAAGCACGCTTGTTTCGTTTAGAAAGTTCAATTTCCCTTCTGGCAGCCCAGATCTTTCCAGTTGAGATCCTTTGGGTGCGTCCATGTCTGACCTGTCAGGCTGGCAACAACTACTTCAGTCGCTCGGCCGTGGATCAGGGACGCGTTCTCGGGTCGAAATTCGAAGCCATGGAAGGACATTTCAACAATTTTTCTAACATAAGTTCAGTCTACAATTAGAGTCTCTATATAATATACTGTATATTAAAATATTAAATATATATATATATATACCTGGTCGGATATTTTTGTCTAGAGTCTAGAGCCGTACTTACTTAGTCAGTTTTGGAGGTGCTTGACCGCTCCCGTTCGTCGGGTTCGTCGGGTTCGTCGGTGACCTCTGGAGTGGAAGACAATTGATGTTGACTCAGATTGTGTCCCCATCACAGACACAGAAGTGCATCAGAAGATCACTGACACAGAAGTGGTGGATGTTTGGTATTCGTTTAACAGTCTTTACCCCCATTCGCTTGAAGCTGTGGAGATCCAAAGACCGGCGACTGACCAGTTGAGAGCTTACCAGGCATTTCTTTCGAGACTGAGACAGTGGTGACTTCAATTCAGGTTCCCTTCAGCAAGCAGTCTGGGAAGACCAGCTTCTTAGCGTCTCACCTTCTCAAAACTCACCTTTCCGAAGGGTCCACTGAGGACATGTCGCCGAAATAGAATGGTTCGACGCAACTGACAATGATCACTTGACAATGGTCAATTGCTTGCGATCCCTTTCGCACGGATACCTCACCAGCCAACGTGGAGAAGCGACACACATGAAATGATGTTCAACTAGCAACGAGGCTTTGCACACCATGTCAGAGTGAAGGGAGCACATTCTTTGGACACTGGATCCCAGTGGACACAACTGAACTGGATAGTGCATTTGGTGGAGAAAACTAAAAGAGGATCCCGGGCAGAACAGGCATCCATTTCCAGCTGCTTCATGAAAAGACCTCCGATCTGTTTAGGGGGGCACACACAAATCGTGGGGATCTCCGATTCCTTTGATGAGCACAGCACTTGAACTCGGCTCCGGATCTGACTGGACTGCAGGAATTGCGCGAATGTTGACAGCCCAGAGACGGGACGGGGAGAGAGATGACGATCGCCGTTGTCACAGCCGCTGTTGCCGCGCTTTTTCTTTTTTTCCGCGAGGAAAACAGTTCGATGACACGTGGCACGATCCCAAAGGTGGGCGAACTTCAGAGTGGTTGGAACACGTTGGAACTCTCCTAAAGACGACGGGATTTCCATCGATTTCCTGTGACGGGGTCCACTTTCAGGTGTTTGGTTTCTGGCAGGAATTCCATTGCCCTGCTGCTTTTTTTCAGCCCCTCCCAATTTCTTCACCTGTTTTCAACCTCCCAGACGCAACTGGAAGAGGCCATGGCCGCGGGGCCACGGGGCCCCGTGCCCCCCTCCCACCCTCCCAGGCTGTTTCTTGGTCTGAAAAGGGATGGTGGTACATCACCTTGCTGCAAAGCATGCTGTTTCAGTGTGACAGTGCTGAACATATTCCCCGGTCACTGCTCTCTTGCGGCAGCTGCACCATTTTTGCATCCACTACTCAGCTGATTGGCCATATCATAGCAGCATACTAATTAGTGTTTGGAAGCCCGCCCGCACAAAGACTACAATGGATGCATGTGTGTGTGTGTGTGTGCGTGCGCGGGTGGAGATAGACCTGACCTATGTAAAAAGATGTTCTTATATAGATGTTTCTAGGTCAACCTAACGATCACTTGCCAACCATTTCCACCATCTCAACAAACCCAACTTGAAGATTGATATCACCATCCCAAACGATGCCAGGCCAGGTCTTCCACACTCCCGGGGGCCCATCGAAGTCCCGGTCGCCTCGACGTCGAGGTCTCGAGGATTGAAGGTTCTTCGGATCCTGCGCCTCGTGCGCCTGGCCAAGCTGCCACTCGGCCCTCAACGGTCGTTTAGACCGTGGTCCTCGATCTCGGACACCTTGCGGTGCCACCGTGGGCATGGCACCTCGTGCGTTTTCATGCGTTTTTTTCCCGATTGGGGCGGTTTTGTTGGGCGGGATTTTTTTCTGGAAGGTGACTTTGAAGTGATTTTGGTATAAGTTGTTTGAAGTATCGACCCACTTCCCAAAGTCATCTAATCATCGTTTGAAGGATCACCGATGGAATGAACTGAGCATTGTGTCCTGCATGGAAGATCAGCAGCTATTCAACTTTCCATAGCCAGGCTAGTAGCCCAAAAACCACCAGTTCACTAAGGGGCTATACTAAAAAGTATAAAAAGGGAGCATGTTGGTGCACTATCTTTTGAAGAGAGCACACAATTGTGATGCTCACCATTAATTCGTGCAGGATTTCTCCACACAGTTTTCCAGCCAGTTTGGAAGCAGCCCTTGTTACATGTTGTTTTTGTACAAAGCCCTGGCTTCAAGCTCGCATCGGCAGCCAGGGAGTTGGCGGGGTTTTCTTAGATGCTGTTTGAGACCAACAGGCCTCTTTGCTCCCCCAGACCTCACCGGGAGGGAGGAACGTCAGCACTGGGCACATCAGAGTTGGAAGACATAGCACATCGCCATAGCTGGACTAGTAGACGTGAGGGAGACAATTGTTTTCCACTGCTGGGGTGCAGCATATCTTCGCGAACATGCGGTCGGATGGGGAAACGAGCTCTGCACCACTATTGACGTGGGGGTCGATTGCCAAGTGGCACACCAGAAGTAGACCGATGTTCTTGGATTCCATACCTCTCCCTGGTCAAAAAATGGACAGATCGTAGATTTGCATCCTCAGTCTCCACTGACATCCAGGTTTCCCAAGTTCCATTCGGCCCGGGGACCGAAGAAGCACGGGACGGTGGGAGGGTCCGAAGCAACGGGAGGGACGGTGTGACGTTGGACCAAACGCCACGCTTTGTTGACACTTTACCATCACTTTGACGGATAGAACAGATGGGAAAAACAAAAGTAATGTGATCACTTTACATCACTTTACATCACTTTTTACATGGAAAACAACACTGAAAGAAGATGTTGACCTCAAGTAGGGTGAGAGTTGGTCTTTTTGAGTGCCCTTGCCCGTCGTTACTTAACATATATTTAATGTTATGCAACACGAGTTTTTTTGGGCAGGCCCGAAACAGAAAGCTTCGAGGGGTCCTGGGCGTAGTGCTGATGTTCTATGTTTGATCTAGAGCAACAGTTCATTTGTCTGCGTTGTTGTAGATCCGGTTTTGTGCTTTCCAAAATATGGTCGTGTGGCCAGAAACAATGTGGAGTGGAGACGACTTCATACGGAGCCATAACACATGGAGGGTGCCGAGGCAGCATCGCCATTCGCGACTAAGTCATTGTGTGACGTGCTGGTGTGTTGAATTCTGTCGTGCCACACCACTTGCGTTCTGTGGCATTTTTGCATTTTGTTGCTGGGCAAATTCGACTGGCCTGTCTTGATCACATAGACGCAACACTAAGAGGGATCTCCTCACCGGGAGAATGGTTCGATCGGAATTGGATGGAAGCCTGAATCTACCGTGCCGCTCCTTTGTGACCATCTAAGATGAATCCTGAGTCATAAGGGAAGTTGATGTTGCATGTTTCGAGTCGGAGGTCGATTGCTTTTGTGATTTTCAACCGGTAGCAGCTGCCACTTAGCCACCTAGGCCTTCATTGTCGTCCAGTCAGACTTCATCCGCCTTTCGATGGGCGCGTTGGGGAACCAAACGAGTGGTTTTGTTATTTCTCGGGGCCGGGCCAGGGCAGACACGTGGATACTTCCAACAACATGCACAGTAAGTGAATTGTGCGCAGACGTTTTTGGGTGGCTTGAGAGTAGTCAAGAGTTTTGTCTTCATTTTCAAAATATTCCATAGACATAGTGACATATAGATCATATAGACATATAGATCATATGGACATATAGTTTTTTTTTTTTGTTTTTAAATATATATTGCATTACAAAGAAACCTGTCCGAGAAGAACGTGCCAAAGATGTATTTACTATAGACATAATATATATCATATATTATACTATATAAGCCATGTCTGAAAAACCTTCGGAGCCGGTGGAACGAGGACGAGAGCGATCGATCGTTTTCGGGATTCACTCCACGCCCGTGGAGGTGCGAAAGAGCACCTGTCATGCGGAGTTGTTGTTCTTTCTCCAGGAAATCTAGCTAGCACATGCATGTGCACCATAAAAGCAGAGCTTGGTGCTCAGTCAAATTTGACCAATGCTCTACTGGTTGCTCGAAGTGTTGACTCAGAAGTAGATCGTGAATAAAAGAGGTAGTATGAGGCACTCTAGAAGCGTTCTAAAACGTATTTGGCAGGTTCCGCTACTAGGGCAGCTGCCTCTTGCTGTAGTTGAGTTGGCAAGTAGGCACAAAAAGAAGCAATTAGGCCTGAAGTATAAGGACGGATGGTACGATATGTTACGATGTGTCGATCTTTGGGAATGAAAACGACCCAAAACGAACGCCAACCAGTTTCATCCCACGAACCGGGTTCTTTCTGACGCTTCGATCTCCGGCGGTCGAGGTGGTTCGCCGTGGTGATCGTCGTGGTGATGAACCACTATGTCCGGAGGGACTCGGTGAAGACCCGTGGGGAGCGACGATGGGACGGGGCGGACCGCGTCCGACGACGATGGCCGGGCGCCCGCGCCTCATCGTCGTCGGATGAGGCGTCGGCGTTAGGTTTTGCGGCTGACTTCCCAGCGATCTGAAAACCGGGACTTAGTTGGCACTCAGTCCATGTATACGGACTACTTCGAGTCCAATACTTCTCCTTTGATTGAGTATAATGAAGTTTCACGTTCTCACGTGAGACAATTCATTACTCAATCCGGGTGCTAGATGCATGATTATGCTAGATTGATCGTCGGCTAGTTTTTGGATTGTTTGACACACCAAAGCCAAGTTTGCTGTCAACGGAAAGCTACGTCCACTAAATGTGACGCTGAATAAGTGAGCTCCAAGCAATCTCGCAGCGACTGTTTATCAATTTAAGATAAACTATTGCACTTGAGGGGCGAGCTGGGAACTGGAGTGAGAGTTGCAACTGGAGGGAGAGGGTGCACAGTTTTGTGCACAAAACAGGCGTTTTTTGGTCTCGACGATGGCTCACGACCCCCCTGTAGAAATAGGGCGACGCAGCCGGTGTGCAGTGTGCACCGTGTGCGACAGCGTGCGATCCTTCGTTGGGATTGGAATGGCCACCTTCGTTTGGATTCGTTGGAATGGCCACCCTACGGCCTTTTCAAGCGAATTCTGCATGAATTTGTCGAGAGAACATGGACAAAAACCGGAATCAAGGGGCCCTTGTTGGACCAAAACTGACCGATTCCGCTCAGGTCGCTTGTGTTTGGTTCGCTTTGGGCTATTGGGATACCCAGGCGCCTTGGCTTGTTCTTGTTCACGGTGCCTGAACCTGCCTGAACGGCGCCCGTTCGGGACCGTTGCTTGCTGTTTTGCTGAGTGAAATAGAAATACTGGCATCCCACTGGGTGAGTTTTTCCTTCGCAAGCATCGAACGTTGCGACGGAGTTCACCGTGCGACTGTTTTGGCCGGCTGAAATCATCGGCTTCTAGATAGAAAATAGATGAACATAGATACAGTAGTTTTCCGCATCCCAGACTTTTGAATACTTTTGATACGTTTGAGAGACAGAAAAGCTTCAGACCTCACGAGATCTGTCTTTTTGATCCGGTCTTGAAAGTCTTGAAAGTCAGACGGTAGCTGTGTACGTGTCGCAAACCACGAGAAGACCGGTCACGCGCTACTAATGCATCCTCAACCGTGGTATTGTGCAACATTGTGACCCCTTTGCATCCCTTTGCATCTTTGGAGTCTTTGTTTGACTGCAGCAAAAACGGTTTGACTCTCCACCACAGTGGATTTGGTGTCCAACTACAGAAGTCCATCGCTTTTCGTGGATTCAACCATTTGTTGATTCTGTGCCTCACTGTCAGCTGGGTGGAAAGCACTCAATTTTGTCAATTCGAAGGTTTCGGTGACTCGGTGGCCATTTCTTCACTTTTTGGTCCCGCCGTCGTCGCTCGTCGCCGATATACATCACCGACCGAAGGAGCCATCCGACTGTCTATTCATCCGGGTGACTGACCGATGGAGCCCATCACCAGGCACCCATCACCTGGGTGAAGGAGAACGATCTGGATGGAGCTGCTTCGTGAAATAACGCAGATTCGGACAACGACGCCAGAAAAGCATGTTTTATATACGTGTTTTTTGTTTTCCATGCATGTCTTTTTTTTGACCCCCGGACCTTTTTTTTTTTTAAAGTTTATATAAATCCTCAACGTGTTTTACCCACAGGTCGCCAACAAAAAGGTCGCCACTGCTTTCTGCCAAGAAAAACAGCCTCACGGTGCGCGTTGTGCAGCATGATTGAGGTCGATTGCGGAGCAAAACAACGGTTGTTTGCTGTTCACACTCTCAAATCCACGTGGAACGATCGGACTGCTCATTTGCGAGCTCTTTGATGTTTTTTCCTTTTTTTTCCGCACTGCAGGTGCCAATCCGTGTTGGTGACAGTGTTGCTGCCCACATTGACATGTTCAACTTCGGAACTGCACATGATTTCATCATGCAACTAAGGGTGATGAACCCCATACACTCACACCCAATTAGTGTTGGTATCTGTCATGTTCCTCGACTCTTTCCAGGAATGTGTGCACGTTGAATGAATGGGGTTCAGACATGTTCAGACCACGTTCATTGCTGTGTAAAGGCCGGCCACCAGCTCTAAGTCACGTATTGGTTGTTTGACCCAATTGCTGGATTCTTCGAGCTTTTTATTTGCACCTGACAGCCTGACACCTTTCCATTTTTTGGATCGCTTTAGTGGATTGATTCCTCTCTCTCTCTCTCTGTGGAGCCTCAAACATGTCACATGATGTCGATTCGCTCCTAGGTCCAGAACCCGTGGAAGGTGGAATTGACATATCAGTACTCCACGTGCGGGGCTTGGCCGCCGCCGCGGGCTCCGCGGGCGCCTGCAGTCAAACGTGGCAGCTTTCATGGTTTTTGGTAATGCGGGATTTGAGGATGATCATGGCTACCTAGGTAGAGGGTGCAGCAAATGCCAATACTGCCGGTGAAGCAAACATCAAGAACTGCACAGGAAAGGCTCGAAGGGAATGACGAAAGCAATCCTTTCAAAACAGCTTGGCAGACGTCTTTCCATGTTTTTTCTGATCTTTGCTAGGTTGGGCATCTCAGTAATCCTTGGCCTATCGTCCTTCACACCACAAAACCGTGGCCTTGTTGAGCTCGCTCGCCGTAGGGCCCACTTCGTTGGGCTCGTTGGGCCCTCTGGTAGGTCACCCAGGTTTGAACATGGTGAGTATGCCAGGGGTCGATGCAGGGCGGCCGGCAGTTTGACAGACGGCGTTCGGTCTTTGGATCTTGAAGCAGACACGAGACTTTTGGGGGGCAAGATGAGTGAAGCGTTTAGGGGTCAGCAGCCCCTTCGTTCGCCCTGTTGATTCCTGTGAGAAAGGCCTCAACATGCACCACCAAGGTCTTTGCATTATGCCCCCAAGGTATTTCTTGTGTCGCGTGAATCGAACGACGTGTGTGGCCACTTTGCCCCGTTGACAAGCATGTGACTTAAAACACTTCCTCGGAATCCAGCCATTTTAGACTGAGCTATATTCAAAACATATAGAATTATAATGTAGATGTATCTATCTATATCGATCTCAGTCTCAAGTCACCAATCCAACCAATCCAACAGTCTTGAGATCCAACCCAACACCCACTTGCGCAAGATTGCAAGCCAAAGCATCCACAGAAGCGAACCTGCACTTCAGAAGACTTCAACTCCTCATGTCAAGTAGAAATAGTAGAAACACAGCACCCAAACTGATGGGTCAAAGCCTAAAGAGGTCCGTTTCTTTGTTTCCACCCGTATCCCACAGCCTGCACCGACCCTTGTGAGGTCTCTCCATTGGGCGCCTGGACCTCAGCAGTATCATCAAGTATCAAGCTACTAGCGATGGCCTCCACCCTAGTAGCGATAGCCTCCACCCCAGTAGCGACGGCCTCCACCCTCCCTCAGAACTCTTTGCTCGAAAAATCCCAAAGACTTTTGCTACCCGCTTCCCCCATGTAGACCTTCACTTGGGATTCGAGCAGAGAGTTCAAGGGTCATTTCTGCACCAAACTTACGATGCGTACATAGACATGGTTGTTTGTATCTGTGTACAAAAAGATAGGTAGATAGATAGGTACAGCCTAGCTACTAGCAACAGTTGAGCAGAGAACAACGTCGTTTTGACTGTCCTTGCCGCGGTTCCATTTTTCGACCTATGACTTCATTGGTTGGGCACCGCAATGATAGCTGGGTGCAGATTCCAGACAGATACACAGATTCATTCCTATTCGCACACACTGCCTGTATATCGGTTTGAACCATTGTGTATATTGTAGATGCATTGTTTTGTTTTAACTCAGCACATCTTAAGTACTCATGATGACTTCCTTGGGCACGGATGTTTCAACCCGACCGTTCCCGGACGTCGGACGACGCGTCTGAGGCTCTGTCAGTTCACCCCCGCCACCACGGAGGCCGTGGTGGTCGGTGGTCGAACTGGGGGTAAAGGCGGTGCATGTGTCTAAAGAGCCACTTGTCCGGTCATGACCTTGGTGGATGGGGTGCTAGCTTTTTGACCACAAGATGGATGAATGGTTCCGCTTCTAAGATACAGCCTCCCTGTCAGTGTTCTTTGTTATGATTATTCTTTTTTTAATGCCATTCTGTATGGTTTCATTCCTTTAAGCCCTTTATAATAGTGAGATCAACCTCGTCCGTCACAGCAAGATGGTGCAGGAAGAAGAAGGAACGGCACCCATCACCATGTGCCGATTTGGCAGTCAACCCCGCACTTCAGACATTTCCGGACCTGGTCTTTTCTTTTTCACCTCAGGGCCCGGGCGTGGCGTCGATGTCTTCTTTTTTGCACATGGACGTGGGCCTTCCGTTCGTGGCGATGGCTGGAAAAGGAAGCTCAAAAGTGGACCCATCCGGACTCACGAGGACCAATCCAGATGCATGATGTGTGCAAGAGTCCAATAATGTCCAATAGTTTTGTGGCGAATTGGCTTTCAAATTAGTTCCATCAAACATCAACATGGGCAATTGCACGAAGAGTTGAGCTCTTTTGGTCAAAGCGTACATGGCCTTTTTTTCGTGCGCATCACCCGAATCGTCATGTTTTCGTCAGAACCGAGGTGGTTTCATCCGTCGGAGGAACACGAGGAACCACCTCAACCATCCGAGGAACCCCACCGAGGTCTGTCGAGCCCCCGACCGAGCTGGTCTTGAGCCAATTCGTCCCTGAGACCTCCCAAGCGTCGAGACGGGCGGCTCCTGGAGGTGATGGCCACCAATACCACGGAACGGATCTTCACAGTGCTTACGGTGCGCCGTGCGCACGGGTGGGTGACGGGTGCGGAAAAAGAAAGACCAGAGGTTGTTTTTTAATTAAAGCTAAGGGGAAGTTCATTGATGATATGTTTTTTTTGCGGTGTAAGATGCAAAGTGCTGAACTACTAAACAAATCAGCCCTGGTGTCACTGGTGTGCACCTCACTTTCATCTCTTGCAGTGGCGGGTGTAGCGCTCGGCAGTGGCTTTTGCAGTGTTATACCTTGCATGAAGTCTTATTGTGCTACGGTGATCCCGCCACGGTCGCGAGTCAAAAGGGGACATTGATTGGGCTACGAAGGATCAACAGATATATTACATTAATATTTAGTATGTAATATACATTATACTTTATAGTTGTAGTATGTTATAGTAGTATATAGATATTTGATTATTTGATTGTGATCTCTCCAACCTATCACTTAGACAGACCTAGCTATCACAGCTTCCCATCCGTCCCAACCTCATCAACCTCCGTCCCCGGCCCCTCCGTCACGAAGATCCCGCTCAGATCATCTTGGGTTTGATCTCCTTCTCCTCCTTTGTCTCCAACATCACGACATCAGTACCTCGGACGTTGTTCTCGAAGAAAAGCGAGTCCGGACCGGCAAAAACGGCCACGGATCCCCCGAAGAGGTGGCCTTTTTTCTCACCCAGTTCGCTTTCGGTTTGTGGGGCCCGAGCCGAGCAAGTGTAAGTTTAAAAGTCTCGATGCCAAGACTTCCAAGAATTTGGGGTTGATGTTTCTCGCAGCATATAGTAACAAGAAGTTACTAGTAACAAAGGGCATCGCTACTAGGAGCAAGGACGCTACTAGTAGCTCCTGGCATTACTACTAGGAACAAGAAGCTACTAGTAGCTAGAAGCTACTAGGTGGAGGCCATCGCTATTAGGTTGGAGGCCATTCCTATTAGGTTCCTTGTGCTACTAGGAACAAGAAGCTACAAACCAGAGACTGTCGACTGGAGACAGATCGACGGTGTGCCGCCTTTGGTCTGGATTGATCTAGACGACTGGGCGCCAGCCTGTTGCGACGGCTTTATGGAGGTAACCTCCCTTTGGCCCAGAGGACAAGAAAGCTAGGGTGATGTGGAGATTGTGCTTTGCAACTACAAAAGGAACGTGTCAGACTGTGACTGAAGTACCCTTTCCACATTTGTCAGATTATTGCAGAGAATATAAGCAGGTGTTGAATCATCATCATATATATATATATATATGCACAGATGTTGATGGGGTATGCATTGTGTAATAGCTTTCCGAGGACACTACTTTGGCTTTGGTACCGTTAATGTTTTGCAAAATTCAGGTGAATGTAGCTGCTATATTGAGGCAAGGTGTAAACTTGGTCTTTGCTGAACAACAACACCAAAAACCAGGGCCCGCAACCGACATGCCTTCCACGTTTGCTCAGATGACGCAGCTGCGCAACCTCAACAGCGGCTTGCCATGCAAGCGGCTGTTCAGGGTGCACATGTGGTAGAACCTCCGGTGAAATGAAGCTGCGGGCAGTAAACATCTTGCCTTCACTCCCACAATATATATATATATATATGTAGATATAGACGACATGTTATGACATATTGAACAACAGCATCTTCCAGGTCATGGATGTACAGGTATGTCACGTCTGGTGTACGGTACCCTATCGGGACTCAAAGGTGAAGAGAAGGGTCGACCGGCACGCTTCGCCCCTTCATACTGAGCATCGAAATTTTGACTCAGCTGCCTGTGAACCACTCAAAGACTGTGAAGCAAGATGGGTATAGGGAGGCTTTGGCACAGGGGTCCTGGGCGCAACAGTTCGCCACATGTGGGAGATAGCAATCCAGATGAATCAGGAATTGTGATGAGTTCCTCAGGATTCAGGATCGATTCTTGTAAACCTGCTCGGACAGTTGGAGGATTTTGGAGGATTTCACACCCACTCGGACAGGCCCAGTTGTGCACCTAAAATGGGTTTGCTAGGATTTTTCCATCCCAATCAGTCTCTTCCCAGGTTTTTGTCCCCGTTGTTTCTTTCTTTCGGAACCGAGGCGAGAAACACAAACTTCAGTCAGCCTTGAGGACCTACTTTTCACAAAACGAGCTGCGTGGCCGACTGTGGAGTGAGGGAAGCGACCGGCCGCGGCCGTTCGTGCGCGGCCGAAGGTGGCCAAAGCATCGCTGGGAGAATGCGTGACCGGACCGGCTCGTGACCGCTCGAAACCGACTTCTCTCCATAGGGGTGTTCATTTTTTTGGGTTCATTTTTCACTGTAGCTTCCTGGGATCTTTTTTTTGTTCTCTTTGTCATTCTGTCAGAATAATCTTTGGAATGCACGGCGAAGGCCGAGATCCACAGAACAAGAACAAGATGCAAACATTTGGTACAAGCACAAAGCAACTTGGGGAAGATAGCAGAAGCTCATCTACCGGGCCCTGCTTCGTCTCGCTGAATGCCGAACTCGCTCGTTCGGCCGCCTGAAGTTTTGCAACTGCAAGTGCAAGCAGGTGACGAATCTCTGGACGTGACATTTGGGGCTTCCTTTGGGGTTTGGGGACGACCAGACCTGGATCTGTGCCCCATGGGGCACAACGCGGTACAACGACCCTTAAAGCCTCCAGGAACATCGGAAGTTCAATCATCGCCAACCTTCTCGGAGAGATTGGTGTGGCAGTTGGTCTAAATTCTTATTCTCACCAACGGTCCACTCTTTTCCGCCCCTTGCGGCGCTGCCGAAACACCACGGTGTTGGAAAAAACGAACATACATCTGTCATCATCTACCGCCACCGTCTTGCAGAAGCTGTGGAGGTATTACCGATATCCCAAAAGCACCCAGGGTGGTATAACATTCACGTCCTTTCCAGATGTCCTTTCCAAGCCGGAAAGCACCGACACGACACGTCATGACACGTCTAGCACCTAGGGTGCCACCAGAAGTGAGCAAGTGCATCTACGATTGGATTCACAGCCCTGACGCTCAGTGATTCGCCATGAGATTGTTGCTAGTCTCGAGCCTTGACCTCCCCAAGAGACTGACCTCCACAGGGGATGCGATGCGCAGCAGGTCTAAGACATGTATAAATAAGACAGTAGCTGATATATATATATATATAATATATATATAATAATATGATATATGTATATTCAATTATATACATATTGAATATTGATATTGATACTATTAAGGAAGTACTTTGGGTCCAAGTATCTCTTGACTCTTGACCACAATTGCTCACATTCACACTGGGAGACTGTGAGGGTGATGTATTACTTCATATCCAGCGCTCCCTCTGCAAGTTGAAAGTCTCCAAAAGTACTGAAGTACTTGTGGATTTTCCAACAATCGGTGGGACATGCATTGATAAAGTGTTCGCTGGTATAGTCTTTGGTCCTTCAGTTGTTGTTTAAGTTCAATTTCAAGGGACCTATCGACCTATCGCTAGCTATTTGGTGTTCACACGACTCCTGGGAAGCTTCCGTTCAGTGCTTGTATGGCTGCATAGTACCAAAACGGTTTGTCGTGCTCTCAATTGTATCACGCTGCCACCCTGAAAATCGGTTTACCGTGCAACCTTTCTTTTCTTCTGGCGGCACAGCAAGGGGGTGCACTCAATGAGTGCTACTTCATGCAAAAAACCGCCTCCTCGCACTGCTTGGGCCATGCAGCTTGGGCTTAGTCCGATCAGCCCTCCTCACCAAGGTCACCGGAAGATGCATCGAGTTCGTGTCCATGTGGGGCGGCTCAAGAACCGCTGAACCGAAACCAAAGAACCCCGGCCATAGGGCCATGATGGCCGAGGCGAAACAGCAAAAAGGGTGGACTGAACCGCTGAACCGAAAGCAGGGGCGAAAGGAGTCAGCAGCAGAGGTAAGCCAAGCGAATTCCGAAGGAGAATCAAAGTTGGCAACTGATCTTCACAGGTTCTAGGGGTTCATAGGGTGTTCAGAACCCTTTGACATCGAACTCCATGGTTCTTTGAGATTCGGTACAGCTAGCGGGCACTGCCAAAAGCAACAGGAGAGTTCCGACCCACATCGTGATTTGGTCCCAGTCAGCTTTACAACTCAAGTGTGGTCGCACGAATTTGTGCCACGAACGGTGCCGGTGCCACGACGTCACGACGTCACGACTTCGCTTCTCTTTGCTTGGCCTACCTTCACCGCTCCACCTGCAAACCGAAGCCGCCAGGAGCAGGACATCGAGCTGTTGGCCGAGATGCCCGAGCGCCTGCGATTCAAGCTCCGCGAGGCGCGAGCACCGGTGGAGAGGGGACACTGGTTTGGACGGCCGCCCCCGCGAAGCGGGATGGAGGTCCTGAAGAAGTTGTTTTAAAGAACGAAAGAACGCAGCGATTTTGAACGAGTGAAGTCCCACAGGATGCGAGATGCGAGAGGCTGTGTGACTCAGCCAAAAACAGCAGCGAAAGAAAAGGGATGACATATAAACACGCACGCATATACATACCACCAGAAGCACAAAAAACAAGCGATTCATTAACAATATTGATGGACCTTTAATTTTTGAATCGTGGTTTGGTCATTTGTGTCATGTACCTTTGTGTTGGACCGGTGACGTGCCACATCTGTTGACGTCGCCCCCACGGTTTGGAGGCTGTCTATCGGCCTGTCCTTTGCCGGCATCCCTTTCTCCAAGAGTGGTGTGAGGTGCGGCGACCGGTCCGAAGCTTTCGATGTCCCGGAGGATTCTCGGAGGAACCGAGCTCGGAGCCCGCCACGCAACAGCCCAACACGTTACAAAGAATTCCATAGATTTCAAGACTTGTTGGAAGTTCCATCTTCTTTTTTGCCGTCGCAGTGGTAAATCCAGGGATTTTCCAGGACGACGATTGCAAAGGAACATGTTGCTCTGACAAGACCAGTCCAGAACTTGATGGCCTAAGCCTTGATATGCCCTATAAACGATGAAGATCGTGATTTGTCTATTTTTGTCGCTTGGTCAATGGTTGGTCCCTTTCTCTTCCACCCGACCAGGTGGACCAAAGAGGCTTCGATCGTCTTTGTCACCAAGCCTTGCAAGAGATCAGGAGCGGTGGTCTCGTCAGGGAGGACCTCATGCTTTGTTGCGAGAAGATTCCCGCAGGGGCTTGACTGAATCCTTAGTAACTGAAACGGCTGTATCTACGCATGACTATGTGTGAGTGCTTGATGGAGAACCTCGTTTCAAGAGATTCTGTAAAACTCTTACAACACAAACCGGCAACCTTTTAGTTGAGTGTGTCAGGCGTTGCAGGTAGTGTCAGCAGTCTACTACTAGTACACCTATTAGCTGGTGCTTGTTGTCTATCCGAGTCTATCCCTTGTGGCTGCTAGCACGCGCAAGTCTGGGTGATAAACGGACGATGCCATTGCCAGGGTACTAAGCATTCCACATCCCAGGTGGGATATGCGGCAAATGTCCATCAAGATATGCTTAGGGTTTTCGCTGCGAGAACGCCGCTGGGCCCTAGTGGCATGTGCCAGGATAAGCACTGAACACACTGTCTTCATCAAGAAGGAACAGGCACATCAAAGCGTGTAGTTTTGCTGCCTGCGGGGCTTCTGGTTGGGTGGTTGATTCCACCTTCGGAGGTGAGGTGGTGAGGTGGTTGGTCTTTAACGTGGGCCTCTTCGACCCAAACATAGCAGCTAAGGCATCCACAAACCTCTCCGGAGGTTGGCACCGTCTGCCTGTGCAGAGCTGAAATCCAAGGGTTCATTTTGCGGCCGTTGTTTCGTCCACTGAGTCCCCTATATCCGCCCCCTCCAATTCCGGACACCTCCTCCCGACACGCCGCTGCGATCTGCGACCACCTGCGGGATCACGCTATGTTCCAGCTACGCGGTCAGGCGGCGGGCATGTATTTCGTGACGGGCGGCGAATTGAAATATTGGAAGTCCGCCTTACAGGACCCGACTCGACGGGCGGACGAATGCCTCGGCCCAAACCAGGACGAATGCCTCGGTGGACGACCCGACGTAGACGGGAAGACACCACGAAGGGAGGGACCGCCGACCGCGGTGGAGAGATGCAGGGCGACGCGGTGAGAGAGGAGGGTGACCGATGGGGGCGACGACGGGTCTGACCGAGAGCGATCTGGGTCTGACCGGGCATCGTTTCGGGGACCCATGGCCAGTAGCAATTGACTTCATTCTCCTGTTTGTCGCAAAGTAGGACCACGGTTTTTGCCTTCCCACCGCTGAAGGGCTCCTTTTTCAACGTTTGAACACCATAAGGGTAGGTGTCACTGCCTCAAACCCCAAAGATTGTCTGGACTTTGAAGCCGATTCCGTTCGTCGCTTGGTCGAACGAACATGCAGTGCTTGATGCACCTCATGGTTCGGTTGTCTGGAACGGACAACATGTTTTGGTTTTGAAATGTTTTGCACATTCCTTCAGGGGTAGGTACTTATATAGATAGATACTGTAGATGAATTGATAATTATATAGATAGATAAAAAGCTGGACAGATGGAAAGGATTGACAGATGAGGAGTATAGTATAGTAAAGTATAGTATAGTTTAGTATATAGTATATATATATAGATAGTATAGATAGTATAGTAAACCATAGGAACAGTATAGACAAGAGCCACGTGAAGTTCGGCGGCGTTCCGATATCTTCAAGTATTTCTGAAAGGATTGATGCTTCATGCGGTACCGCTTCACTGATTTGATATGCCGATCTTCACAGCTTCAGGTTTTGGGTGAGTCACACTCCGCCGGGCGGTCGCAGGATCCCATGCCCATCGGCACAGGCCGGGCAGCAGGGCAAGCTCGGCTGCGGAGTTGTCCCGTCTTCGAAGGGTTGGCTGCCGTCTTGACGACAGCAAGTTAGACGAGATGACTGAGATGACGGTTAGCGCTTTGTCGTCAGACTTCTTCAAAGGGTTGTCATCCCACTCCTTCGAAAGACCGTGCGATGACCGACCTTCGCACCGTGTCGAGGCGATTGGATCTGTGAGATTGCGCTTTGGGTTCAATGGAGGCCAAACGAAACTGCTATGCACAGCTCGCGAAACTGCGCTTAATTGGGATGTTTCTTTGACATGAATTATCACCTTAGTGGTTTGCTGTGTACCAACGATGTCTATGTAAATGTAATCTATATTAAAACAGATATCGGACCGTCCGCGGTTTTCTGGACCAACACCGTCACGACGTCACAAATCCGTTCTCTCTCTCTCTCCCGCAAGCCGAGCCGAAGCAACGAAGGGAAGAAACGGCTTCGGAACAGCGTTTCAACATGGAGTTCCGCTTCGGAACAGCAACTGCTGAGAGCCTATCACTTCAACATGAAGGACCACTGGGCCCCATACGGCATTTCTTTCGAAAAGGGCGGGTTGTAGTTTTGGTTGATTGCAAGCAGCCACTGCCTTCCTAGCTATGATAGCCTGCATGCCCACTGCTGAAACACTTGGATCAAAAGTTAAGGGAACCGGAACCAAGTCTTTCAGAGCCTGAGAGTTCTCTTTTTGTTTCTGAAAAATGTTGGTGGGCTACGAAGTGCGTAGTCTGTACGCACGCCCTCCCTTACTCCAGGCTTTTTGAACAAATTGTATAAATGGAGGACGTCTTCTTTTCACCGATGTCTCCAAAATCAACAAGCATATCATATACCAGCATGATCTTCATTCTCCTGCTTTTGACCAGAAACAGCACACGCCTGCATGGCTTGCTAGGCATTGTGGCACCCTATCTGCTAAGTGTGCCAGTGATGTGCCTCGACAAGGGTCGTTGTCGGATCCGGTCGGATCCGGTCGGACGATCCGCGTGGATCCGGTCGGACAAGTCTATTCATGCTCTGTACATGAGGCGAAATGAAATGACTTGTTCCTTTCCGAAATGGGTTTTGGACACCCAAGTGTTCACAAGTACAGAGGAAGTATATCATTATATAATAAGTATCTAAAACCTTTTTCATTCAGAATGCTTGACCATCCAGCTGAGGGTTCTTCTTTTATTAAGAGTCAACATTTTGTTGAGAAACCCACATCTCTGAGACCTTGTGAGTCATTCCAGCCAATTACAACAATCATTAAACACATATGATATAAACATGCACTATGCTTCTCCTGCACTTGCAGGGTTGAGATGTGGCACGCACCTAAGAACATCAAGACTTCACCATGAATCCTTTCAGAAGGCCAGCGACCTCACAGACATACTGTAACTCATAGAGTCATAGACTTGGACCGGTGCTCAATGGGGCGGGTCCAGCCGGTCGGTCATTCCGGTCGCGGGTTCGCGGGTCGCGTCGCGGGTGGGGCCCCAGGTGATGCTGGTGGATGCCGACCTCTTTCGCAGCGTCATCAGTGGCTGTAGCCGGGTCGGAGGACCCCAGATGGAAACAGCTGCAACTGACTGACCAACTGGCATGATGATGCTGGTAGTGGTGGTGGTCATGATATGTTATGATAGGAAAAGGGCGGAGGGTCTGGGGTGTGAACCTCCGGACGGCTTAGCCGTCCGTCACGGATAGGATAGGAGTCTGGGGCGGGTCTGGGGTGCTCTGAACCTCCAGAAGGCTTGGCTTCTTCTTTTCGGCCGAGCGACCTGTTGGGGGGGGGACTTTTTCGGCCAAACGGTTTGGATTCTCAGAGACCTGCTATGCATTGCTGCGCAATCATCGATCTGGTGATTGACCCACCGCGCTGCAGTTGAGGTCACCAAGCGCATGGCCAAGTCCTACGCGGCGGGTTTCGTGCGACACGACTGCGAGGCCACCGCGGGTCCCGCGCGGGTGATCGGATGAAAGAGGCGCCTCGACTGCAGGTGGCATGAGCCAAGGTATTTGCTTTCCCACGTGCGTGCAAACGTAGAGGCTCAAATGCAGCTTAGAGACAGAAGTTTAAGGGTTTTCCAACCATCTAGTGAATCTAGTAGCGGCCCATGTATTGATCTTTGCATCATGCTTTCCCAGTGTTTAGACTGAAGTCAGACAATGTGGAGGATCTAACAGGCTCCTTTGGGTCAGGGAGGTTCTTTCTATCAGTTTGTACACCTGCTACTATTCATAACTCGGCTAGATGGGTGTGATTCCAGTGTTGACCATATTCTGACCTGATCAAGTACCTGATTTGCCTCAAAACACTCCCCCCCAAACAATTCACTCTTCGCCCGTACCTTTTGTTGGGCAGGACTTGAGGGCCCCCCTGATGTTTTAGACAGATTCCTCTTTTTGCCATTCAAGATCTTTGCGACTTGATGGGCCGCCTCCGCCCTTTGAGAATCTGTTTGTGTAAGCTTGTTCTGCTCCTCTTCACTAGGAAAACGTGTCTCCCACCCATCACCTGCAGTCCTCCGCTTGCCAGATTCTCCACAGCAACGGTTGGCTGGGTGATGTTTGCTGCTCCTTTGAGGCACGGCTTGCTGCTCCTGGGAAGACGACTTAAACGTAGCAAACTCGGGCATGTTGACGCTCCCATGGTTGTTGACACCATCCAATTGCGAAGGTATACTTTGGATACGATGTGGAACTTGAAGTGAGACTGACGATGCCCGCCAAATGACAACCTACATTTACATCAATGAACCAGAAGTCGGCTCATCACTCGTTGTGCTGAACCCTTCACGAATACAGGGGGTATGACTCAACCCAGGATTAATTAACCCTCAACCGGTGTAAAGGTACAGTTGAACAAAGGGTGTACTTGCAGGCATCTGATTGTTTGAGCAGTACACACACACACACGTATGGTCATACATGAGTCATACATGGTCTAATGAAAGCTTTCGACACCAAACATTCCAGCCCTTCTATCCTTTTGAATGGCGGAAGGTTGTGCCGAGGTGACATGCCTTACATTCATTGACACTTGCGTAGAGAAAGCCGAACAAAGCTAGCAATGATCGAAGCTTCCTATATGAGTTCTGGTGAATCATGCGATCCCTTGATTGTACTATATTGGTCTTGACATGCTGACAGACTGGACTGCCAGAGCCTCCAGGGCATTCAGAACCTCAAAGATTCAGTACTGCGCAATGCTTCATCCCCCAATTTGCTGCTTGGCCGCAATTGGGTGCTGCCGGGTGATTTTTGGATTCTTGGAGCCTCAGCCCATCAACAGGGAGAAGACATGCTCTATCCCGATATCCACCTTCTTTTCACCGTAGGCCATGCACCATGACTGATTACTTTGATTAGTACCAGCCGCCCACAGTGCTTGTCAAATTGTCGGCCTTTAAAAGTATCCAAATGATCCCAACGAAGCGCTTGTGTCGACTTGCTTGGGAGGTCCTCATGTGGACCCCAAAGCAAAGCTTGCCCATTTTAGAAAGGGACACTGTCAGGCCCCCCCAAAATACACGTTTCTGGAAATACATTGAATAATATGCATGCATTGTATTATCCTTTATATTAGCAATGTCTTTTTTTTGGCTGATCCTAATCGAAAAGAAGTTAGCAAAGTGTACAAAAGTAGAAGCTGGATCGATGGTAAAAATAAGGGACACGGTCTCTCTAAAACATATCAGACTCATTCAGACTCCTCTAAAAAAGACATACATAAGGTGTAGCAGATTAGGAGCCTTTGGCAAAGGCTGGGAGGGAGGGTCGACCATTTTTGGGGGGGGTCGACCCCCCCCCCTCCAGATTAGGAGCCTTTGGCAAAGGCTAGGAGGGAGGGTCGAAACTCGAATAAATGCAGGAGAGTTGGATATTTTGTATATATTTTCGGTCGACCCTCCTCCCAAGAAAATGGAGCCTCCAGCCAAGTCTAGCAGAGCAGAGTGAAAAAGAGGTGTTTCCTTTTGAAACTAATTGTCACAATTTTTGGAATGTATAAAACCTACTTTAAACTGAAGCATGCTGGTACTACAGTATAGTGTGTTAATATTGATGCTTTCACCATTAAGGCTGAAGATGAAAAGAACCCAAGGGAGTAGCTTTTATTATTAACATTGGAGGCTGGAGAGTGAGCAAGTCTATGGATATTAAATTACCCAATGAACTTTACCAAGTTGTAGAAAATCAAATTGTAGAAATACCAACATTGCATCTAAGGATAGAGAAATTCAACATGATGAGTATGATACTGATAGTGATGATATTGTTAGTAGAATTGAGAAAGTGAACCAGGTACGTAATGATTAGGATACTACGTGCAGGAGCAAGCAAAAGTCATATCTGCCAGAAAATGGTTGATAATGGTTACTCAATATTTTTTGTATGCCGTACTAATAGGTTACCACACTAATTTGAAGTTGATGCCAGAACAATAAACAATAACACTATTTTTGGTATGCGTTTTGGTGCTGTTTAAATGGAACCATTTTATTATTCAGAATTTGATGTCATAGCAATTGATCAAATCCATTTCATCGGTTTGAGTGTTTATTGCAAAGCCACGCAGTTTGTTGAGCATTTTTTGCAACACGTGATACCAAACAGCTAAAACCAGTTCAGGAGCTGACAAATAGGTATATCAAAGAGCTTCTTTTGCAGCACTATTTCTGGAATGTATAAAACCTACTTTAAACTGAAAGCATGCTGGTATTACAGCATAGTGTGTTAAGATTGATGCGTTCACCATCAAGGCTGAAGATGAAAATAAACCAAGGGAGTGGCTTTTATTAATAAGATTGGAGGCTGGAGAGTGAGCAAGTCTGTAAATATTAAATTACCTAATGAACTTTACCAAGTTGTAGAAAATCAAATTGTAGAAATACCAACATCTAAAGATGGAGACATTCAAAATGATGAGCATAATACTGATAGTGATGATATTGTTAGTAAAATTGAGAAAGTGAACAATGTAACAAATGATTAGGATATTACTTGCAGGAGCAAACAAGTGCCAGAAAATGGTTGATAAAGGCTACACAATATTATTTGTATGCCCTACTAATAGGTTATTGCACGAATTTGACAGTGGCAATTGAGTGTTTCTTGGAAGGCCACATAGTTTGTTGAGCAATATCTTTTTTGCCACACGTGATACCAGACAACTAAAATCAGTTAATGAGCTGGCAAATACCAAAGATTATGAAACATTATGCTGATGCCATGATTGACAATATGTTTGAGCATAAACTATGTTAGAGGATGAAAAAAAACAAAACAATATCAAGAACTATACACTCGTCAACATACAACATAGCATATTTGAATAAGACCTGGAAACCAATCTTATAACTCATCATATGTTTGAGTTAAAAAGAAAAACACTGAACACCACGTAGGCCCGGGGGGGGGTGGCGTCCCACGGGACAGCGCTGTGGAGATCCTGGGCCGGGTAGGGCGACTCCCACGAAACTCGTGCAGCCCGGCGTCCAGGAGGAGCCAAAAGCCCGAAGAAGTCCCAGTAACTATAGATCCAGGACCCACACCTTTGTAGCTAGAAAGTCCCAGCAACCAATTCGTTTGAAGGATCTATGAGGCAAATCAGCCAAGTAACCAAGTATCAGTGGTTCACCCCCGATCAAACAAGATGTCAATGGCAGACGGCACAAACCGTGACACGGAAGCACAGAGAGAGAGAGAGAGAGAGAGAGAGGGAAGAGAGAGAGAGGGAAGAGAGGGAAGAGAGGGAGAGAGAGAGAGAGAGAGAGAGGGAAGAGAGAGAGAGAGAGGGAAGAGAGGGAAGAGAGAGAGAGAGAGAGCGAGAGAGAGAGAGAGAGAGAGAAAAGAGTGAGATAGAGAGAGAGAGAGAGACACACACACACACAGAGGACGAAGACTTATCATACCAAGGAACATCGTCTTAATCAAACTGGTCCTCCATTGTACCGGTTCCTGGTCTTCCACGGACGATCCTTGGTGTCGGACCGGGTGGGGTGAGGTTTGCTGCGCCGGTGGATCTCTCGCAGGCTGTGCCGGGGCAATCGACCGTTTCACCAGGTGTTTGTCGCCATGACTCGGTGGTGGTAACACAGGGTGAGAGATTCACCAAGAGATCCTTGGAAAAGCACGGTGAGTCTTCTCCTTGAACTTCTCAACCATCCCTTTTTTGGATGGAGAGAGGTCGGGTTGGACAGGGTCCAGAGGACACACAAGTACCCAGGTTCCCAGGTTCCGGCAGTGACGGACGACCTCGGTGATGGGCCCGGACGTCCGACTGACAATGCTGGGTGTAGGTCGACCGAGGAATGTAGGTCGACCTTGCGACCGGTTCCAGCTTAATCCCATGTTCTTAATTTCCAAGAACGACCAATTATACACTCTTGACCATGCGTCAGACGTCCCTCTTAAAGGTCTTAGCCTGAGCCCAACCCCCAGCCGGGGCTGGAACAGTTCTTTTTCTGAGTCTTGAGATGTCTTGAGTATTCCGGGACACTGGAAAGGCCGTCACATTCCGCAGATGGTTTTGCCTGGGCATCAAGAAGGTCTCTATCAACCTCAGTTGGGCAGGAAAGGTCTTCCATCAGCGATAGTTCAGAATTGTTTAATCACTAGCCTTTTCACCATGTCTACCTCTACGTCGTTCCACGAAAAGAACGAAGATCGTCCAGATGTCCATTTCTTTTTTTCTGTACGCAACACCTTTAATCAAACAACTGCGACAGGGACTCCCAACCGAGTGCCGCCGCGGTTGTTCCGGACCTTTGGCCAGGAGGCGGAAGTGGTGAGGGAGAGCTCCGAAGATACGAACCGGGAAGAGCGGGACGAGTGGAGGCGGTGATGGGAGAGCGAAGATCGTTCTGAAGGAAAAACACATGGATCAGAAAGAAAGAAAGGGAACAAGAAAAGGCCACCCGGGTCACCCTTTCAGATGGGCCTTCTCTGTTGATTTTTTCGGCCCTCTCTCTCTCTTGTTTAACCGCTGTTATGATCAATTCAAAGCCTTTAACGTTGATGATATGGTCAGTGTTTTTTCCTTGCTTTCTGCCTTTCAAGCCCCGGGGCTTTTGGGAGTCTCAGTCAGAAAAAGGACAGGGCTCGTCCGTTTTGGATGACGCAAATGAACCAAATGAATCCTTTGTGCTTTGTTCGGGCTTGATCATACAAGGACGAGGTTGAGCCGAAAGCATGTTCAATCCGATCTAGGGTTCGCCGCGTGAGGTATGGACAGGGTTCAAGTCAGAACTATTCAATAGCCACAAAAGGGCAGTGCGCTTTGAATCCACATCCGCGATGATTGAACAATATACATTCGCAACAGCAGCACATGGACTGTAATTATTTACCTCCTCGACTAAAACAACATATCGCGTAAAAATTATAGTAAACTATTCAGTGTGTGTCATCGCAGCCCAATGTATATGGCAAGCGGGTCTTAATCATACGCAAGGCCACACCCAGTGATCTAGGCAATCCAGTGATCATCAATTCATATACACCATGGAAGAGGCTCACATGGAACCTGAACATGGGCCTTTGGAAGACGATGGTCCTCTACAAACCGGGCGTGGTTTTCAGGTTCTATGTGGGTCTCTTCCAGGGCGCAATTATTCGATCCATAGTTGCTTGTGGAGCGAAGATCCCAAGTAGGTTGGTTTAGTTTTGAGTTATGAATCCTGCAAGCCAAGAAAGCCCGGTCTAATCCGATCAACGTTTCGTCTCCATCGAACAACATCCAGCTGAATGTGAGGCTTTTCCAGGGCACATCTCCTATTTTTGCAGAAGGGGCGAATGTCGGCATAGGTATCAAAAAAAAACAAAAAGAGCATCAAAAAAAAACAACAGGATAAAAAAAAAGCGAATCAAAAAAACATATTCCTTGATAGGCCTCTTCTGCTGCTCTCCTGGCCTTGTGGTCTGCGGGTCCTCTGGTAATGTGGTCCCTTGGTCCT